AACTTCTACAGCTCCCAGAATCTTCTGCTAACATGGCTAAGGGATATAGAAGAAGTATATTCTGAAAAAAGTAAAGAAAATAGAAGTTAACGATATCTGAGAAATGGACACCACATTATATGAAAGTCTCACAGTAGAAACAGAATCTTAATAGCTTCAGTCACCAACTCAGAGAAAACAGAGGCGTGAATTAAACATTGGCATATATTTGCTCTGTTAGCTCAACAAACTTGTCATCAAGTCAATAGCTCTGCATGCTGTGTGTATTCAGGTGTCGCAAGTCCTTAGAAATTATTCTTTTAGATGTTGAAAACAGCCTTGTGAAATGTTGGGTAAATTTTATAAACTGCAGCAGATACTTGTGGAGTGTGGAGACCAAACAGTGCTAAGGATTTGCTTTCACTGAAAAGCCCATCCCATTTTGTTCTTATTAGTTCTGTTAATGAAAAGAATTGGAGTAAATCAATGTCTGAAGGCACTTAATCCCGTTCAATCTTGGGAGCTATGCAGAGTTAGCCCTGATTAGTATTTGGATGAGAGACACTCAGTGAATTCCAGGTGCTGTAGGCTATGTTTCAGAAGAAGAATCTGAAAATTGCCTATATGGTCTAAACCAGGTATGGGCAAACTTTGGCCCTTCAGGTGTTTTTAGAATTATGTGGCTTTCCAGATGTTGTACTACAGCTTCCAAATTGTGTAGGTTTCTGGGAGTTGCTGTTCCACCACATCTGGAGAGCCCTATGTTCCCTATCCCTGCTACGTCAGGATTTGTCAAATATTTGACATTTCAGCGCTTCTTGTTTTTACTGCTTCCTTCCTACATTCACATCATTAACATCCTCTTTTTAAAAAAAAAAAATACACCCAAACTGGGCTGTTTGTTAACGGAAAAATGTGGAGCATATATTCACTGAATGAAATGGAATCTCGACTTGGAGCATTATCATATTTTAGTAAAAGGTTGTAGTCCTTTTAAAAATAGGTCACCGGTACAAGACTCTTCATTATTCTTTTTTATCTCCTTCCTCATAACATGAAACAAAACAGTTTAGACCATATAGGCAATTTAGAAGTCGGACAAAGTTTCCTTAGATTTATATCTCATCAATATCCTGGTTTGTCCTAGCTTCAAAGTTGTTATATATAAGCCAAAAGCATGCAATTCACAACTGCATCAGTCAGCAATCAAAACATAGTACTGTAATTTTGCTCCACCCATTTTATTACTCTGTTACTTGGAAAAACCTCTGTTTGATCCATACCTCAGTAAACATTAGAGATTGTGGCACTGCAACATTCTCAGCCACAGAACAAAACAGAAAAAGCCAAGCCATGCAACAGTGCTGCTCCGGCATATTTCTGAATGCTGTATATCAGCTAGAACTTTGACATGGCACTAGATAATAGGGATATCAACCAAAATGAAGAGCTACTTACAGCATTCACTCTACAAGGTGAGTGAGCACATAAAAATCACTGACTCCATTGTAACTTGATTGTGGATCTTCCAGAATTTATATTAGGGAACATTAGTAATTCTGTGTGGTTGTAGTTGGCAATGCAAATTTTGTTGCTTCTGAGCCACTGTCTGCTCTACAAATTGGGAAATCTGTACCAATTCAAATCTGTTCTGTCTTCAACTCATAAACTGGTCTTGGCAAGATCTCTCTCTGCCGTAGCTTTTCAGGATCAAGGGTTGTGCTGAACAAAATTTCACTAACTGGATTTCTCCACATCGATTTCCTCTCTCATCTTCATCTTTTCTACAAATCTGCTCTGGGGTCAACTAGAAGAGTATGGGAAGTGATTTTGGGACTTGCACAGGAGAAGGAAAATATGAAATTGTTCCTGTTCCTTCTTTCCACCTGAGCACCAGGTTCACATAATGGAAACCTCCATTGGATCTGACTTAATCCTTGAACGCAATCTATTCAGTCTACTTGGAAGGCAGAATCCTAGTTAGGTTCAGCAAGTGGCTTAGATTTACTTGCCCAAGGGGATTTCTTTTTTTCAGTTGGATTTTATGTCCTATTATTTTATGTAATGCTTTCAAAACAATGATACTGGTTAACATTAGAAGATTTTTGTGAGAGAATTAGAATTACGTGAAGGTAGTGCGCATGAAGTGCTTCTGGTAACATTAAAAACACTAGAGGGCTGCTGTTAAATGGTGCCATTGGTTCAGAGCTGAGTACCACTAAACAGAATGGGAACTAAGCAGATCCTGTTGTTACCCCCCCCCCCCCCCCCCGGTTTAATTATCTGCATAATTTCTTTATAGGTTTAAGCAACTTTTAAAAAAAAATACTCAATTACTGGTACTTTATATCCTTGCTTTGTTGTCTGTTCAAAAAGGTGTAAGTAATCAGTTTATACTGACTATTTTTAAGTTGTGTATTGATTGTTCTGTGCAGCACAAAGTCGAATTGTGCTCCGATTGCATTTTAAGCCCCTCAATGACACTCTGTCAAGTCCTTTGCCAGTTTGAGCCTGCCAGCTGCTGTCTGCCCATTACAAATGGGTAATACAAAAATAAATGCTCCTGTGTCCTCCCCCTTTTTTTCTATCTAGCTAAATAGCAGATAATGAAAACATTCAGAAATGGCGTGAGATCCATGATAGGAAGGAATGCTGTGATGTTTGTCTTGTGTTTGTGATACTTCTGTGCTGGAGTTTCAGTATAGCAATGTGGGGGAGAGGGAAAAAAACATGGGAAATATTCAACAGATGGCATATTGACTTTTAACAATGCAATAATGTTGACATAGTTACACATTTACTTACGGCAGTATAATTCTATTTCTTTGTTGTTATTTTAATGTATGCCATATGCTAAGTATTTTGAAAATCAGCTTGCCTTAAGCATCTATACCAGGAAGCTACAGATCAAAGGTTGCAAATGCTTTTCAGGGGATTTTTTATTTGCTCCCAGCCTTGGAAACACCTTCAACTATGCCCCCCCACACACACACACACACATACACACAATAAATCAAAACAGCCAAAAATGAAAATCAGAAGTTAGTTCTGATTAGTTCATTGTTTAGACTTCAGGGGACTTGGTGGGGGGATGGGGGACAACTCACTACAAAGGTGTAAGGATAAAAATAGACTTCCACATCAGCCTGAATTATCCAACTTTGATTTATAAATTGCATGGCAGAAACTTAATATGGCTTCAAAAATGATCCTTATAAATCTTTTCCAGATAATTTTACAGTCTAAAAGCTTTTAGAATGCTAGCCCTAGACTATGATATACCTGTATTTACTTGAGTATAATGCTCTGTCGATTGTAATGTGCACCTCAATTTTGAAGATATGAATTGCAAAAAAAAAAAAAATATTGATGTCGAATGTAATGCACATGATTCTAATGCGCCATCGAATCTAATGACTAACTCACTTTTTGCTGTATTATTTAGCCAAAAAGGGTGAGCATTAGATTTAAGTAAATGTGGTAATTCATTGCTGGTGTGTGCCTTCAAGTTGATTTCTGACTTAAGGTGAATCACAGGATTTTCTTGTTAAGAATTATTCAGGGAAGGAATTGTCTTTGTTTGAGACTGAGAGAGAGTGACTGACCCTAGATCACCCAGTAACTGTGAACAGAGATTCAAACCCTGACCTCCAGAGACATCCAGTTCTCAAACTGAATTAACTCAATTTAAAAACTTAAACATCTAAGAATTAAGGAAACACAACAGAAAATACTGACAAAATGCTATAGAATCACTTACCAATTAGGGGTTCTGTGGCATATTACCAAAAGGACAACAACATTGTGTTGGCATAATTGTGGCAAAACATGAAAATATGTGCATATGTGGTGGGAATGTGACAAGGTACACAAATTTTATAAGAAAATAAAGGGTGAAATGGGAAAAATACCTGGGCTAAAAAAAGAGCTGAATAAACATCTGGTTTTTGCCATGAAAATGGAAGGAAAAGATTGTAATAAAGATTGGGCAAATATTATAAAGGAGGGCACAAGCAATGGTTGCGCTGAGATGGAAAGAGCAAAACAAATGGTAAATTAAAAAATGGTACGAATGTTTAGCTGACTATATGCTCCAGGATTATATAATTGAAAGGAAAAATAAATATATAGATTTGTATGCTATGGGACACTAGGTCTCAAATTGGAAAGAACTCATAGCCAAAGTGAAGGGAAAAATAAAATACAAGAAACTAAGTCAAACCATCTCCTTGATCCAACAAATGGAATAAAGGCCGAAATTGAATCACAACTGTTTCCGAAGGGAGGAGAGTGAGGGGGATTGGAAATAAGGAGAAAGGTATAAGTAAGAGACTAAGCCTAACTAAGGTGGAATCGGAAAGGAGTAGAAATTGAGCTGTACTGAAAGAGTATGTAATCTCTTTTACTTGTATTGACTGGTTTTGTTTGTTTAATTCTTCTGTCATATAATGGTGACAGTTATACTCTATTTATACTACTCAATAAAATAAATTTGGGTGGGGCACTATGCCATACTGGCTTCCCCTTTGATACAATATTGTTCTTAAGCCTTAATCTCCTACGTGGGCTCAAAAGTGTTCCATTAACTTCTCTGAAATTATAGAGCACTGTTATGGAGTATGGGCTGAATCTAGAAATCTTGCTGTGTGGTAACTTGCTGTGTTGTGTGCCAGGATCTTCTGCATCTTGACATGTAGTTGCCACCTTTTACACATTCACATCCTGTCTAACAAGGACTTCGACATAGGTGCATTTCCCCTGGATAGCATTGCTTTTGCAGCTACAGGCAATATCCTGCTTCTGTATGCAGACTGTTCTTTTTGAATCAACACATTTGATGACAACAACAAATGTGTTGTTGGTAATTTAGAAGAAATTCTTTTAATGGAAACAAGCCCACTATATAAAGCAAATACACATACCTATACTGGTAATGACACATACATTCCCAACCATATACTTTGATAATTATTGATTGTTTCTTCTTCCTCTTCTGCTTTTATTCTATTCTTCTGTACTAGCGCTTCTTGAACTTCCTCCTTCATGCTTGGCTGGATCTCACAAACACGCACAAGGTAATTAAAGTTCTTCTGTCCTCTATGTTGCAAGGAATACAACTTAGCAAATTTTCTAACTTCTACTTTGTTGTAAAGCTGTTTTCTTACATTTTCGTTTCATGTGATCTTAAACTTTTTATTTTATTAAACTCTCCTAGAACCCAACACCTAAACATTTCCCTCTTCTTCTTTTTTGCTCCCAGGTGGTGCATGCCCTTGTTATTTCATAATTTCCATACAGATTTTCAGAAATCCTACGTAAAAGGTCTTTGAGACACTACATTTTAATGTGCTTTCTGTCCGGTCACTAACCCTCACATGTTTTCTTTAGGCTCCCAAGTCTGTTATCGTTGTGGACTTGGTATTTCTATTTTGTTTAAACTACATTAAGACATTCTTCTTAATTGTTCTTTCAGTTCTTAGCACAGAGAGACGAGATCAAGTGACAAATAACTGCAATGATAGTGAAGTGGTCACACATCTACTGGCAGAGGTACAATTTTTTTTTACTTATTCAATTTTGGTGTATAAATTTTGTTTCATGCAGTTTTTGCTTTTATTATTTTGTGCCTTAGCTTCAACAAATTGTTTTTTAATTGCCATTATGTTTGGCATACTCTGATCAGTGGGTATATCTACAAGCATTATAAATATCTAGTTTATTTTTGCCATGTCATAATGACGTGTTACAATAAAACAAAAAAAATCATTATTCTGTATTCAATAAGAATAAAGATTTGGTCTTTATTAGCAAAATTTCAAAGGCTGTGTTATTAAACTTGGTGCAATAATTGAAATTGTGTGTTGCCCAATCTAACTCAAGAGCCCCAAAACAAATTAAAATAAAAAAAATTGTTTGGAAAATAATGCTTCATATTTTTTTTTTAAAAAAAGAAAAAATAATAATAATTAGAGGAAGGAAGGTGTTGTACCTCAGAGTTCCCAACTGTCTCCTTTGTTCTGCAACATCTGGAGGAGCTCATCTTGAAATTTGGACTGAAGCGTACCCAGTTTGTAGATAATTCACTGTTCTTCCTCCCATTTCCATCAGGGAGGCAATATTAATCTGAAAAAGATACCTGGAAGCAGTTCTGGGACTGAAGTAAACACATTCCAACTTTATCAAATAAGACAGTAGCTATATTCATTTAAGTGCTGCAAGTCTGGATTGAGGTTTCCAGCTGGGTTTGTTCAGGGTGGCTTTCCTCCTAAACTTATTTTGGAAGAATCAGGAATGAAATTTTGAGGTTTTAATGGATCTAGCATTATCTGTATAGATCCACAATCACATCCCCATGTAGTGGTTACTTCTCAATTAGACTAATAAAATGCAGTTTACATAGAGCAATCTGTAAAGATAATCTGGAAATGTTAGCCAAAATCAATGTGACATTCTAATCTTTCAAACCCTGAACTATCAGAAACAATTTAATTGATTCTGCTATACTTGCATGAACCAATCTAGCCTTAGACTGACCTCAGAGACTATGGCCTTCTAGTAGGGCCAGTCAGGATTTCTAGGTGGGATAGAAGTATAGTATTATTTTAAACACATGTTTCATGATTACTAAATGTTGTATCCAACAGTACAGTGTTTAGTTAGCTTAAAGCTTGAGAATAAGACTTAAATATTTTCAGGGAAACTGATTTTGTTTTAACTTAGGACAAAACTTTCTGCCCGACATCTTAAATTTGCAATGCCTTCCCCACCCTCAGTTTCTTCACTATCATATTTAAATAGGAAGACATTAAAGTCAAGTTTTGAGAAGCAAGAATTGAACTGTTTTCTGCGTTTTGCAAATGAATTGTATAAATTTAATTTTAAATTAGGATTGGAATACAGTGTTGAGAGAAACAAATAAAGCTCTTTCTTGATATGCTTAATCAGAGAGATCGGGACCTAGAATTAGCAGCACGAATTGGGCAAGCCCTATTGAAACGGAACCATATCCTCACTGAGCAAAATGAAGCTTTGGAAGAACAATTGGCCCAAGCCTTCGACAAGGTGAGTAAACAGAATTGAGATTCAACTTTTGTAAGTAGAAGATGCTATTTGTTTTTTGGGGGATTTTTTTGTAGAAGTTCATATTATTGCACTGAATAAACTACAGGCACTCCCTGAGTTACAAACATCCAACTCATAGTTAAGAACGGGGGTGAGACAACAGGAAGTGAGTGAAATCTACCCCTCGGAAGGGAAATTGACTCCTGGAATTGTTATCATGGGGAAAAGGTGTCTCCACTGAAGCATTGTTGCTAATCCTTGTTTCCCCAACAAACCAAAATTTTCAAAATCCTATTAACAAGGGACAGAAAGCAAACTAAAATCTTCAGAACAGGGGCATAGACAACAGAACAAACACTACAGGAGTGTTAACCCTTCCCGGTGCTATCCAAACCTAAAAGATATATATATATATTGGCTGGAGTTAGATTTTAAAAATGTACATGTTCTGACTTACAAACAAATTCAACTTAAGAACAAACCTACAGAACATACCTTGTTCGTAACATTAGGGACTGCCTGTATTACAAACTATATTTATATATTTATGTTTAAAATCTAACTAGGTGAAGAAGTAAAATCAACCAACAAAATAAATATGAAAATAGAAGTTGAAAAGCACAAGATATTGTACATTAGAGTTTCATATTTAGAAAATCAGAACAGCAATGCACCTATTTTCTCAGAACCATTATGCAACAGGACAGTCCAGAATGTAGTAAAATAAGGAAAGCTTTGTTTGCCTAGTCTCCCGGGAATCTCTTACAGTTGGTAAATCAATGCAGGGGTTGATGAAGACATCATAAGTGGAATCTTTCATCTTTCTGATATAATAAAAGATTTTTCTGTTCTAGTTAGAGTGCTAGGCTGAGTCTCTGTATAAGGGAGAATTAGGAAGATATTAGGAAGAATCACTTTACAGCTAAATGTGTGTCTGCTTACTGCGGTATTCAACCAATACTATAGTTATGCTACACAGAGTGTAGGCTATATGCAAACTTTTTATGTGTTCCAAACTGTAATATTTGTCAGAACATGTAAGCATGTCTAATTGCATGCATGAGACTTGATTCAGCTAAGTTTAGAATAGTATTAAAATGAATAAATTAAGCATTTCAGGACATCATGTAAAGGCAGCATGATTCAACGAGCAAGCAAGCCAGGGTCAGGTCAATGCCTTGATGGGAAAACAGTTTGGGAACACAAGGCTGTGTAGTTTATGAGAAAAAAAAATACTTAAATGGATACATGTAGTATGTTTAAGGCTTACTATCTAAATGTAAGGAAGAAATTAAAAAAGTAAGTCTACAGTTCAGCATTTAAGAAAGTGAATAATGTAAACAAATGATTTCCATAATTTTAAAAGTATTCAGTGAAGACATTGAGATAGTAAAGTTTTCCTGTATTTTGGGTTTAGTCATCAATCAAAATGGAGACTACAGTCAAATCATGAAACTAGAACTTAGAAGACCTGTTATGAAGGAACTCAACACGATCTTCAAGTGTTGATGATATTGAATACCAAAGTCAAGATTGCCTGCGCCATTGTATTTCCAGCTTCTATGTATGATTGGGAAAACTGGATAGTAAAGGCATTTGATAGGAAGAGAATCAACTAATTTAAATGTTGTGCTGGTGGAGGGTTCTGGAGAGCCCATTAGACAAATAAATGGGTCAAGATCCGAACTCTCCTAGATTAACTGAGGCTGCCATACATTGACAATAACCTGACTCACTACAAAAGGCAATAATGTTTGGCAAGGCAGAAGGCTATAGGAATAGAGGAAACTACATTACAGGTAGATAGACTCATTCAAGGAAGCCACAGCCCTCAATTTACAAGTGTTGCTGACTCTTAAGATTAAACACACACTGATCTGTGTTTCTGCAACATTTTTAGCACAACATTTCTGTGGTTTTTAAGGAACTGTCATACTTACACAGTGCTTTGCCAAGGAGTATTTCACAGAGGAGGGTACATTATTACTTTTTTAACCTTGTCAGTGAAATGTCTTGAAGTAGCAGCAGTGCTCTGTAGTCTTGACTATGTTCAGTAACCAAACATATTTTGAAATTAGGTTCACCAACTACAGCACGAGCTGACAAAAAAAGATGAACTGCTTCGTGTAGTTTCTATTGCTTCTGAAGAAAGTGAGACTGACTCTAGCTGTTCCACACCTCTTCGCTTCAATGAGTCCTTCAACCTGTCACAGGGCCTTGTACAGCTGGATATATTACAGGATAAACTCAGGGACCTGGAGGAGGAGAACCTTTCTCTTCGAACGAAGGTAAGCTACATTCATATACTTTCCTGACATTAACTGGAGTGGTCAAAAAGGACTAAAGGAAAGATATAGTAACAAAGCCAATGTCAAACAATGCAGTGCTCAATATTGAATTAACATTGCTTATGTATATACAACAGCTTTTCAAATACAGCTGTTGTATACACATTATCCAATTGTTTACCTTTCACATGGTAGGTTTTCACTGTACTGATGCATACTTTTTCCTCGGGTTCTTGTGTTTTCAATTTGAAATAATCTTATGGGATTTTTTAAAAGATACTGTCATTGTCATTTTCCATGAATTATCTTTGACATCTCTCATTTATCTGGGTTTATATTTTGCATGAAAGAAATAGGATTCAGACCTTTCTTTGAATGAAATTAAATGAAAGTTGAACTGAGCCCTTAGACTTCTTGGAGCTTCAACTAGATCATTTAAGATACAAAGCAAAATGATGTTTATTTCTCACTCCCTGTATAAAGCATGTTATCACAGTGTAGTCATTTATTTATAGTATTTCAGTATCGCCTCCTAACCCAAAGGGCTCCCGAGGTATAAGCAGTCTAAAAACAATCCTAGCATAAAGAATAACCCTAGAACAATTTCAAACACTGACTGTCATGTAGAACTGTCATGATTTGGGTGCCCATCAGAAGCTTAAAAGAGATGGGACCCAGCCTAACTTCCTTGGTTGGGGAATTCCACAGTCCAAATGCGCAACAGAAGAATCCCCATTACATCCCTAGGTATTGGGATGCACAACAGGGCCTCTTTTAAGATCTCAAATTTATGACAGGCGCATATGGGAGGAGGCGGTCCTTTAGAGATCTTGACTCTGAGTCATTTTAGGGATTTATAGGTTAGCACCTTCACAAATTATCCTTAGAATATAATTAGGTCTTGGGGGGAGGGTTCTCTCAGTATTGGTAGATTTCTAGTTATATTTAATTACTTTTTATTATTAAAATGCATATTTTTACTTTGAGACACATCAAGCTGAATTATTACACCAGTTACACTATGCATACCAAACCTTGGCCTTCCAGATGTTTTGGACTTTGGCTACCAGAATTCCTGGCTGTTTTCCAGCTTGTCTGGGACTTCTGAGAGTTGAAGTCCAAGGTGTCTGGAGGATTGAAGTTTGGGAACCACCATTCCATATTGTCTTCTGAATATTAACTTTCGTAGATAAACTAGCAATATTTACACTAAATTAATTAGAGTTTAGTCCTAAACCGATTCACTCAAAAGTAACTTGCATTACATTAAGTAAGGCTTACTTCCAATTAAGAGTTCAGAAAATTGCAACATTCATTAGTTGTAGAGTGAAGGAAGAGAAAATCTTATATTTTGATATGAAAATATTCTTAAGTGGTATGTAAAATTCAGAGTCTATAAACTGGAGTTTCAAAATAATTAAAGAATTATAAGGGGCAATGTCCACTGTTTTTCCTTCATACATGCTTTTGTGTGAAATCTTCCTCCCATTCTGATTCAGAAATCAGAAATAGGTTTGCCATACTTGCAACATGAACTTTTATAAAATTAGATAGTTCACTGTTGTATGTACTTCCAATTAAGCCACTACTTCCAATTCAGGGGGATACTTCTTGTTATGAACAAATGTAAAGTTGGAAGATTTGTAAAAACGTACCATCTGGACTCTAAAATAGGCCTCTCACAAAGTAAGATGGTTTTATGTGAATTCTAGACATGTCAGAAACTTTCATCCTCTGAATTAGTAAGCTATCTAATTTTATAAAAGTTCATGTTGCTAGTATAGCAAACCTATTTCTGATTTCTGTGGAAGGAAGGAATTTATTCATATGTAGGGCTACTTTTAATATTAATGAAGACTTCTGAATAATCTTGAAGGCCTGCCACTTGAAGACGGAAACCATGACTTATGAAGAAAAAGAGCAGCAGCTGGTCAGTGACTGTGTCAAAGAGATCAGTGAGTACCAAGGTGATATTTTCCACTGGAAATAATAATATTTGTTGTCTTGAAATTCAAGCTCATACGCCTCTCCTTCATGTTGTGGCTTGATGTTACCAGCTGATATATCAGCACTTCTTCTCCTTTAGCATATGTTTAGATTTTAGAAGAATTCTAGTAATAACTTAGATACTGTCCTTCCCTCTCAAAAACCATTTTTACCCTTTCCCTCCGATTCTTTAAAATATGGTTGAAAATTGTGTCTTTTTGTTTGAAGTAAATGCTGTTAAGCAGAACATTGAAATTAGGATGTGGTATTCATACCAAAAGTCAGAATTGCTAGAAATAGTAACTTTAAAGTAATGAACGTTGTTAAAAAATGACAAATTGTCACAGTGGTTTCCATTTTCATCATGTGAATGTTCTTGTTTTTTGTTGTTTCATTACATAAGTTTTCATATAAGAATTGTATACAATGAAGGCCCAAAGGATATATATTCTTTTTCACATGAATGCAAGACAATTACTTAATTAACTAAACATGATCCTGTGCTATAATTTTAGGGGAAACGCATGCCCAAATTGCACAAATGAGTGAGGAGTTGACCAGAAAAAATGACGAACTGCTTAACTACCAGGAGGAGATTTCATCCCTCTTGTCACAGATCGTTGATCTTCAGCATAAAATCAAAGAGGTTTGTGTACATATAGGCTAAAGTTAGGAATGCTTGACATGTCAGTAGTTATTTAGATTATACGAGCTATTATTACTTCCCATGGTATGCAGAGCAATAAAGTAACTGCTTTCTGTATCCCTTCAGCATGTAATTGAAAAGGAAGAGTTGAAATTGCATCTGCAAGCTTCCAAAGATGCCCAGAGACAGCTGACAGCAGAGGTACTAGTATCTTCTGTGTTCTCATATGACCCAAGAGGAAAAGACTAAAGAACATAAAATGAGAGCCATTTTTTTTCTTCTTCTGTGAAAACCACTAGGTGACATGGGGTTTTCAGAAAAATATTGTAATTTTGTCTGGAATATTTTTGATGTCCTAAACCAATACCTATTTAACTTGTTTTGTTTTATTTAGACTAATAATTAGTAAACATAATTTTTATTAAAAGGGCATTTTTATTTTCATTTGTTGTATAAATTTATCTTTTTTTCAGTAGTCCAAAGTGTTTAGATAAGAATATTTGATTTGAGAGGGGCAAAGATAAATGAAACATACTTAGGCTGTCGTCTTGTTGCCGTGAGAAAGCATTTCCGAGACTGTATGATAGTTTGGATTCTGCCTTCCTCCGAGATAGGAAAAGACATGGGATGTGTGAATCCTGCAGAATTTTGGGGTAGAGTGATGAGGTGATATGTTTAGTTTTAATTATGGTTGTTGGTAGCCAAAAATATGGTTATCTACTCACCTTGACTTTAGGCAAATACTTTTCTCCTGCCTTTGTCCCCCAACTTCCAAAACTGAACTGGCCATCTCATCATCATACCCACAGGTTTGCATTTCTGTTACTGCTTACACACAGAGCCTGTTTATTTATATCTGGAAAGCTCTGCTCTTGTCATGAATACTTCTTGAATCTTAAGAATGTTCTTTAATCCATTCTCATTGGGGCAGATCAGGCACTTTCAGAGAAAGAAGTAGACTCACAGACCCAGTACTGGCTTTACAGCAGCTATATTGATTACACAGACAAAGGGGGAAATCCACATACTCTCAGCATTCACTTCACATACATTCATTCAACAGGCATACTCACCACCTTCTTCATTCAGTCAATCTTGGAAGGAGGCGGGTGTTCAGACTCCAAATTCCCCACAAATTTGACACACTTTAGAATCTAGTTGTATAGTAATTTTTGCTGTTTTTGTTCTGGGTAGTTTTTACAACCTGCCATTCATCTAACACTTGCTGAAACCCCATCATTTCCAGACAAATGTTGTTTTTCTTCCTTAAAGTAAGGAACCATTATTTCTGACTTCCTTAACTTAAAGAATCATTGTGTCTGACTATGTAAACATGTGCTATTTATGCCAAAAGTTCCCAGGTCAGTTGTATCAGCAATTCAGAAGTTTTTCTTCATCAGCACTTTTGATCTCCATAATGCAGTTTTCTAGATTCCAAACTTCTTAGGATAGTGTCTTCAGCATTGGCAGGCCTTAACAGGCCCTTGGCCAGACCCCAATAATACAATTTCATTCAATCCACTCATGACACTCTTAAATACATTACTCCATGCATGATGAAGTAAACCTATGTCTAGGAAAGCTTACGCTGCCAACATCTTTCAGTCTTAAAGGTGTTGCAAGATCCCTTAATATACATGTCCTTGGCCTTTTTGATGCTTCCCACTGTACCCAATGAATTACTGCCTTTTTTTGTCATCTTACAGCTGCATGACTTACAAGAGCGGAATGCAGAATGCCTGGGAATGTTGCATGAGTCACAAGAAGAAGCCAAGGGACTGCGCAGCAAAGCCAGCCAAGCCGCCCTTCTCGGTCGCCCTCAGTCCTGTGGAGTGTTTCCTGTGGTACGTTGGCAAGGGCTGGTTGCTGGTGCAGCACATCCCACTGACTCCCAGGATCCTTGRTTCTGCTGGCTGGTTTCCAGCAAAACATGATCTCTGTAAAGAACAGAGAGTGACAGCCCTGGGGATTGGGGCGGGGGGGGGGGGGAGTTAGCAAAAGGTCTGGCTATCTTTCCTTTGGCCTCTCAGGTTTATCCTTCCCCGTGCCTCCTGCTGTCACCTGTATTTGTTACTGTGGTTCATAAGTCTCACTGGAAGAAAGAATACTATGTGAAAAGAATTAAGATGGCTTTGCCATATCTTTGCATGAGTGTAACCCTAAATTTTATCTTCATACACTTTTTTAAAGGATTCTGAATCATGCTTTTGTTCTGTTCTCAGTATTGCAATGTTGAATCTGGGAACTAGGTTCACTCTGTTTATTTGGGAAGGGAGGTGTTGCCTTCATTTCAATAGTATTATTGGGATCCTGTGCAAACTTCTCCAACAGTCTTTTAATGAGGTTTCTTCTGCTGCTCTTTTAAAAGCAGGAGGAAGAAAATGTTAAGTCATCTGTTTGTCAAGAATATTCTTGGAAATAAGAGCTGCTTTATTTTTTCCCTCCATCTCTTCTGATAAGAAAGAAAGAAAGAAAGAAAGAAAGACTGAATATTGGCCATAGTACTTATTATTGCAACTAGTTCTTCTTCTTCTTCTTCTTCTTCTTCTTCTTCTTCTTCTTCTTCTTATTATTATTATTATTATTATTATTATATCTACTCTGCATTTCTTTCTTGCTTGAGACCCAAAATGTCCTGTGACATTATTATTATTATTATTATTATTATTATTATTATTATCCGCAGTGGCACAGTGAGTAAAAGCACTGAGCTGCTGACCTTGCTAACCAAAAGGTCGCAAGTTCATATCCGGGGAGCAGCGTGTGCTCCCGCTATTAGCCCCAGCTTCTGCCAACCTAGCACTTTGAAAACATGCAAATGTGAATATCAATAGGCACCGCTCCGGCAGGAAGGTAACGGTGCTCCATGCAGTCAACAGCCACATGACCTTGGAGGTGTCTATGGACAACGCCGGCTCTTCAGCTTGGAAATGGAGATCAGCACCAACCCCCAGAGTTGGACACAACTGGACTTAATGTCAGGGGAAAACCTTTACCTTTGCCTATTATTATTATTATTATTATTATCATCATCATCATCATCATCATCATCAATCATCATTATTATATTTATTTATGCTCCACATTTCTTTCTTGCTCAAGACCTAAAGCATCTCATGACATCATCATTATTTATACTCCACACTTCTTTCTTTATTGAGAACCAAAGCATGTCATCATTATTATTATTATTATCATCATTATTATTAGATACATAACAAGATTAGTACGCAGCAAACAAGATCACTATACTGGCTTTTGTATTCGATCACACATCGGACACTTTCCAAGTGTCAAAGTGTCTAGGACTGTGTGATGTATCAGCGAATAATGCGTGCATATCGGATTAGGATGGCTTTTTGCAGCTGACAAGTGATAATTTTGTCAGCACCAATTGTTTTTAAGTGCAGGCCAAGGTCTTTAGGCACTGCACCCAGTGTGCCAATCACCACTGGGACCACCTGACCAGCTTGTGCCAGAGTCTTTGCAGTTCTATCTTTAAATCCTCATTATCATGTAAGCTAAGGTGTCTCTTTTTGCCCTGGCAGCACAGAAAATCTGGGCCAAACTAATCTCTGATATTGCAGTTGACTGTGCTGGGAATGCTTTTAACAAATAGTGACTGTTTATGTAGTTTTAATAATGCTGTATCTATTTGGTTTTACCTGGTTTTTAATTACGCAGGTCCATACAGTATGTAGTATTTTAAAGGTGCATCTTGCCATCGATATTTGTAGCATTTTAATGATTTATAGGATTTTATTGTGTATTTTATATTGTATTTAAAAATCTGGTGTTCATGTATTTATCTATTTGCTTTGTATGTGAAAGACCTATAGTCTAAGCATCAAATAAACTCAATACTGTATTCAAAACTATTCAAAATAAATATGATGATGATGATAATAATATTGGAACTTTAGTGGCATTTCCTAATGGCTATGTGTACAAAGAGTGAAAGACTGTGTATTTGAATGTTGTTAAGAAATATATCTAAAACTAGAAACTAGGTTAAAATTGAGAGTTATGTTCTTCAGCCTTTGTAACCAACGCAAATTGTTAATATCTGCTACTTCTCTACCTAAGTCTTAGTTTATGCCTTGTTGAATACTATAGGAATAGAATCCCAGTAAGCATTTTAAAACATCATTATTTGAAATTGTTACAAGGTTGTTTAATGTCTCAGTGTTTCACCGTCTAAATGGCTTCTTGGAAGCATCTTCTTTACTACAAAAGTCTTGAAGAGCCAAGTGGTGAGGAAAGGATCAAAAAACAAAAGTGATCTTCCCAGGGCTTGAGAATGAAATCCAGAGAATTTACAATATTATCACTTAGCCCCACAGATAGAGCTGTGAAAAAAAATATAAAAACCACCATCTCAACTGTCAGACATGGGTTTCGTTTGGATATTTTCTCATGCTTCCTATGATGTGCAAAGAAATACACATGGTCCATTTTACAATCATGTTAAGTATTTGTAATATGCTCTCCACTTTAAGGACTCTTTAGCAGCAGAGATCGAGGGGACGATGCGGAAAGAACTGAGTTTAGAGGAAGAATCTGTCTCTAAGCAAAAGTAAGTGCAGTACTTGGTTTCATAATTTGATTTCATTTTGACATGTTATTACATCTCTCAACACAGTCAGCCCTGACACAGCACAGTACAGATGGACCTGGGTCTCCCATTTTTGTTAAAATATAATGTTTTATTACAATACTTTCAATGTTTTTAATTCAAATGTTATCAATAATATTGAAAAAATGTTTCAAGTAAAATATTGCATTAATTGGAAACACAAGAGAGCTTTAGAAAACAGTTAAAAACAAAGTAAATGGCAGATGGGAAGCATATCACAGGTTACAGCCAAATGCCTTCCTGAATAATAAATAAACAAGCATTGTCGAAGGATTTCATGGCTGGAATCACTGGATTGTTGTAGGTTTTTTCGGGCTATATGGCCATGTTCTAGAGGCATTCTCTCCTGACGTTTTGCCTGCATCTAGGACAAGCATTCTCAGAGGTAGTGAGGAGGTGACCTCACTACCTCTGAGGATGCTTGCCATAGATGCAGGTGAAACGTCAGGAAAGAATGCCTCTAGAACATGGCCATATAGCCCGAAAAAGCCTACAACAACCCAAATAAACAATCAACTTGCATAACTGTCAGCAGAAAGGCAGCAGAGAAGGAGCTCCATTGGCCTAATGGCTAGGCTGCACAACACCTAGAATAGGGGAATTTGTGCAAATAAGGTCACGTTCTTGTCGAGCACCTGGGCATCCAAGTTCGGGGCTAAACTGGATCTGGAAACTACGACAAATATATTTTACAATCGATGCACAGTGTTTACCAAGTTATGATGCACATTGAATAAGATACCTTGTCTGGAGGAAGCTTGAAAGACATTTCCATATCAATTGTTTTCTTTTTATTTCAGGGTGCAGCAGAAGCGTGTGTTTGACACTGTCCGTGTTGCTAATGTGATACGTGGCCGCTCTGCTTTGTGTCCTGCTCCACTGCCCATCCCAGGGTCAAATCGCTCAAGTGTAGTCATGACCTCAAAGCCTTTTCTTTCTGGCATGCCACAACTGGAAGGAAAGGTGCATCAACCTCAGGGGATCAGGTCAGAAAGCATTTTCAAACAGGAAAGAAAAGATAGTCTAACTTTGGAATGTGTACAGACCTTTTGTTGTTGGTGTTGGGCTCTACGCTTCCTAAGATTCTAGTTGCGGGAAGATCTCTTATTCCTATCCAACCTACTTGGTATATATTTATGAGTTTCTGATTTTCTCAGCATCCTAACATGAAATGCGTATGCACAAATATATTTTTTCCTCCTTAACATTTTGTCCACCTTGGAAAATACTGTTAGAACATTTCCAGAAGCTTACCTGGATGATTCATTATTTCGTTATACAAGTGATATTTTCCGTTATATGTTCAAAGTCCAGGCACAGTGAGTTTTCTGTGTCTATGACACGATTCCACTGCAATATTACAAGAGTCTTGGCATCAGTATTAGATAGACTTGTGTAAACTTTACTATTGTTCAGACATCTTATCCCTTCCACTGCTCACAGGAACTCTGTTTATAATTTGTAATCTCATTTGTTGTCTACAGAAGCAAACTGAACAAACTATACTATTTGGGAAGTCTTCAATATGTTTCTGACATAATGTTAATGCTATATTTCCCAAAGGGAACCTCAGAAGTTGGGCCATGATGGCATTCCCAAGGAGGGTGATTTAGCCACAGCTCTGCACAGGCTCACTCTCCGCCGTCTGAACTACTTGAGTGAAAAGCAGTTTTTTGAAGAAGAGTGGGAGCGTAGGATCCATTTCCTGGCTGAAAAGAAGGAAGATCCGAGTGACTGCAGCACTCCTGTGGAAAGCTGCTTTTCTCTGGGAAGCTGTTCAGAGCTTACTGACTTCTCTGGGTCCTCCAGCAGCTTACGTTGCCTCCTTCCAGAGAAACTGCAAATTGTCAAACCTATTGAAGGTAAGGTAAAGAGAGTTCCCTCTCACTTTCTTGAAATGGTTTGATGTTAGGTATCAGGTGTTAGTTTATACTCAGACCATGAATGTGATCTGGATAGAAAGATCAAAGAGATCCTGAGTTCATCTACTACACATAGATATAAGAATTTTTCTACTTTCTATCATGCTGAAAAACCCTGTACTTTAAATCACTCTTTCTTTACCTGGGTCGGCCCAAATCTGCTGACATTGTCCTTCCATCCATCCCACAGTTCCGAATTGTGTAAAACTACTGACATGGGAAACTAAATTGTGGATTTAGTTTCCTTTTAGTAATATAAAACAGGCAGTTGGGGTTTAAAGATCTTAAGGTTTTTAAGATCAAGCCAAGGGTTGCTGTAGTTTTTAGTTTTAAATATCTTTTTATGGATTTAAACTGAATTTTAAAATACCAATGTTATTTAATTTTGTTCTAATGTTTGTATATTTGTAGATTTTAAATTGTATGGAAATGCTTTTAATGTATCATATATACTCAAGTATAAGACAACTTGAATATAAGCCGAGGCACCTAATTTTGCCACAAAAAAACCTGGGAAAACTTAATGACTCAAGTATAAGCCTAGGATGGAAAATGCACCAGCTACTGGAAAATTTGAAACTAAAAATAGATATCAATAAAATTACATTAACTGAGGCATCAGTTGGTTAAATGTTTTTGAATATTTTTACCATATTTCAAAGAAAAACAGTAAACTAGTTCTGTAGATAGAAAAATACGGTCAACAAAAACAATATGGTATCAACAATAACTTTATAATAATAATTGTAAAACTTCATTTGTATCCGGCCCTATCTCCCCATGGGGACTCAGACCAGCTTCCAACATATTAACAGGCAAACATTCAATGCCTGTATAAACAGTGCAGAACTAGATATAGATCTATAATTATATATACTAATTTCACATATGCATTTCCCCTTGAAATATTTGCAAATCCTCTATATATGTGCCTTTCCATCCTGCAATATTTGCAAGCCCTATATATCTGTTTCTATCTGTCTAGACATCTCTCCCTCTCTCTATATAAGTATGTGTGTGTATTTACCCTGCAGTATATATCTATATTAATATCTATCTAGGCACTTCTATATAAATTTGTGTGTGCATGTCCCCCTGTAATATTTGCAAGCCCTATATATCTATGTTCATATATAATCTATCTAGTCATCTCTCTATATAGATAATTATATCTATAAAGGATTTGCACAAAGACTTGCTAATATGTGAGGGGAATATTAGTATATACAATTATTTTTATATATACACACATACATACACATAAATATATAGGTACCTCTATATTTATCAATATCTATATAGGATTTGCAGAGACTTGCAAACATGTGAGGCGAAAATTCATACATAAAAATAATGTATATGTATAGATACAGATATACAAGTACATGGAAATCTCTACATATCTATATGTATACAGGATTTGCAAAGACCTCAAAACATATGAGAAAATATTCATATATAAAATTAATGTAAGTAGATAGATAGATAAATAGATAGATAGATAGATAGATAGATAGATAGATAGATAGAGATATATAGATACATGGAGATTGTAAAGGCTTGTAGGGGAAAATGCCTATATATCTGTAGAAGAGATTAACAAATATTTCAGGAGAAAATGTTTTTATAAGATTAATGGATATTCCTGACTTGCAAGGGCTTCTCTACCTCTCGAGGGAGGGAGGATTTGGAAAAGAAAACACACTGTTAAGGGTAGGGAAGAGAAATAAATCATACATTGCAAGCAATGGCCTCTAGGCTCTGCTGCCCAGCTTGACCCCATTATAAGCCAAGGGAGGCTTTTTCAGCCCCAAAAAAAGCTGAAAAACTCAGATTTGAGTATATATGGTAAGCTGCTTTGAGTCTCCTGGTAGAGAGAAGAATGGGGTGGTGGTGGTAAATAATAATAATAATAATAATAATAATAATAATAATAATAATAATAATAATAATAATTCACTTAACATGTTTTCTTTCTTGTTTAACAAAAGCAATATAGAACTTTACATTCCCAATTCAAAAATGAATGTATTCTTTGCTTTAAAGCAGAAGACCAAAACATAGACATTAGCATGTTATTTGTCATCATGTCTTTACATTCCTTTGAATATGCATTCTCTGGAGTATGAAGAGGAGCAATCCAAAAAGGAGTGGTACTGACAAAGACACCTAGCTTCTGGTCCATACTGGGGGAAAAAATCTCATAAATTTTATATAAGTGCCTACAATTAGGAAGTAGGCCCTGGGAGAAAACCCCAGGTGTTTGAGACATCTGTTTCTTCCTCACTAGGTTCCCAGACACTCTTCCACTGGCAGCAGTTGGCTCAGCCTCACCTCGGCACCATTCTTGACCCACGCCCTGGTGTTGTCACAAAAGGTTTTGCACCACTGTCACAAGATGATGGCTACCACCTTTCTGATTTGGAAGAAGATGAAGAGAGGGATGAAGGCATAACCTTTCAAGTGCAACAGTCTCCTCAAGAGGAAGGGAAGCCAAGAGTGCCAAAGTCGGTGGCAGGAATCTTCTTACCACCTGCTAAACTAGCAACGAGTTCCCTCACAGGTAAGAACAAGTTGAGTACAGAAAGATGACTATGAATGCAACCGAACACAAAATTGCAAACTTACTTCATCATGAGCTATGTTTTGGTGGTTTGTTTTTTGTAGCTTTACTGTGTGGTTCTTGAGTGCAAAGTTTGTAGATGTCAACAGAATGGAATCAGAGTACGTTATGTCTACAAATTTCAGAATATTATCCATAATTCGCATTATAATTGCAAACTGTTCAGCCAGAAGGCTGGCTCAATAATTTTAACGCTATGAACTCAGTGATGCATAATTAGAATTATTGTGCATAGGAGGTCTTTTTACTTATCTGTGGTGGCAGACATCACAAAAATTATGCACAGACGGGTTTTTTTCTCATTGCCAAGACACTTATTTTTCAGTGTATTGTCGAAGGCTTTCATGGCTGGAATCACTGGGTTGTTGTAGGTTTTTTTGGGCTATATGGCTATGTTCTAGAGGCATTTTCCCCTCTAGAAAATGCCTCTAGAACATAGCCATATAGCCTGAAAAAAACTACAACAACCCACTTATTTTTCCAATGTGGCCCAGGGAAGGCAGGAAGGGTGGGATAATTCCTTACTGCATAACATTAGGAGGAGACATGGTAACCTCAAGGTTGAGCAGTGGCACTAATGGGACACACCTTCACCCAATTTTGGGGAAACTGTTGCAGCCCCCTTACCATATTACAGTCCATTTAGGAGATGCGCAAACCTCTATCTAGCCATTCAGGCAGTTCCTAGAGAAAAAGAGAATAAGGAAGATGCCGTCCAGGAATTCCCTTCTACCAGCACAGCAATGAAATTTCTCCACTGACTTTTACCTATATATAAGTGTTAACTCTGCATCCTAGATAATGGTAACAAAGTTTCCATTATAGCTTCAACATAGCTTATATTAGCCAAGGTTGAGGGTCCCATTTATGTCAGCAAATTCCTCAGCAATGATTAACCCCAGAAATTTGCAACAAGAATAGTTGCATGTCACCAAAGACTGTCCCTGCTCTCAAAACCAGAGATGAGGCATTCAGAAAAGTATACCTAGTGTCTTACTCACTAACAATTAAGATAAATCTGAAAGATGAACGAAGGGTTTAATGGAAAGATTCCATTAAAAATGTGTAAAATATTTTCATTTGACTTAGAAAAAATGTTCAACACTTCCCAGTTTGTGATTTTAATTATTTTGTTCTACTATTTTGTAATCTAGTAGTGAGCATCTGCACAGGATTCAGGGACCAGTTTTTGTCTCTTCCTCACCTACAAATGATCTGAAAACAAAACTAAGAGTTGCTTTTGGTTTCGGTTTCTGTGTATTTTGGTCTATTTAAGTAAGGCAGATTGTATTTTAATTATTTGCCACTTTCCAAGTGAGTAATCATCCACGAATAACAGACTCAGGATGCTCCATTCTGTAATAATTGGTTGTCTTTTTTCTTGCAGCTTCCAACCCAGGAAAATGCCTCTCATCTACAAACTCTACCTTTACTTATACCAATTGTAGAATCCTCCACCCATCTGATATCACACAGGTTACGCCCAGGTAAGGTGCCTGTTTTGCACGCAGTCATTAAAATCCCAGTTTCCCAGAATTTTGTAACCAATTAAGCAATGGAAACGATTGTTTATATGTTTTCCTAGCTATAGTCATGTGTTTTACCTTTTAAAAGCGAGAGATGGATAGAATTAGGACAGAGTTGAATTCATGTGATCTCCAGATTTTGTTGGATTGCAGCTCCTAACACTCATCCCTGTTTGACTGCACTAGCTAGGTTTATGAGAAGTTACTGTCCCACAACTTCTAAAGGGTGCCATTGCTCCTATTCCTGGTCCAGAAAATAGAGAGGCTGATGAAAATATGTGAATTAGCAGAGATGGACAAATTGACCAAATTCAAGAAAGACTGGGACATATTTCTCACTTTTATACAGCAAAGTTGGGGACACTCTTCATCTTTATTTCTACCTTTCTACTTTCACTGACACTCTTCATAGAGAGTGTTATTAAAAGCAGAAAGGTAGAAATAAAGTGATACTTAAAGGTACCAACCAGTAAGTTAAAATCAATAGGCAATGAGCAAGAGGCTGATAGATCACTTTAGTAAATGGTTGTTTAGAATGTGTATAGGTTGTATGTTGTAGCTAAAAGAGTGCTTGAGTTAAAAACATTTTGAGTTAAGAGCACAGCACAGCTGATTTTGTTTTAACATAAGAGCACTGCTTTGAGTTAAGAGCTAGTGCGAGTGTAAAGGACTTTAGGGCTTCAAGGGAGCAGTCTGTATGCCTTGTGTCTCTGTGCCTCGTGCTCCTATCACTTTGGAAAATGGCTGTCCGCTTTACTCTTGTCTTCTTTGGGAAATTGCTGTCAACTTTGCTTTTCTCTGTTTTGACAAAGTTTGGGTTAGTTTATTTTGTGTAGTTTTTATTCCAGATATGTTTGGCTTCATGAAGGGGCAGGGGGAGAGCAAGAGGGATGGAGGCTGGAAAGAATGCAGATAAAGAAAATGATGCTTCTGCCTCATCTTGTGCTTCCTTGCACCAGCTTTATGCTTCTACCATTTTAAATTTGATCTTTCTTTTTATTGTTCCATGTGAATGTGTATTTATACATTATGTTATTTATAAAGTGCATTTTCTTATTTAACAAAAATAGGAGGAGTTTCAGGGGGGCACAACAGACTAATAGCATTTCAATGGGAAAAATTGCTTTGAGATAAGAGCAGTTCGAGTTACGAGTACAGTCACATTTTACAAGTATGTTTTTTTGTTTATATGTTGAATTTAAAACCATTTATAAAAAAACAGAATTTTTGCTCTTGACTTCTAGGCACATTCTTTCTTTCTTTAATTCCCCTTTCTCTTCTCCCCTCTTTGTTTTCCAGCTCTTCATATGCTCCCTTGTGCTCTGGGAGCTCTAGCAGTACCACCAGTACAGTAGCAAGCTCCCCCGCCACATCATGCAGGTTCAGTATTGGAGAGTTCCTCACTAACAGGAGGGACTCCACTACCACCTTTAGCAGCACTACAAGCTTGGCTAAACTCTTGCAAGAGCAGGGCATCTCTGCAAAGGTCTACAACAGTCCAGTTTTGGAGAATGCACCTTTGTTCCAGCCACCCAAGATACTTGCTGTTCCCTCAACACCACCCAATTCCCCTTTGCATTCGCCTTGTCCTTCCCCTTTGCCTTTTGACTCTCGAGCAAATGCACTTGAGAACTTTTTGGCCTCTCGGCCTGCTGAAACCTTACTGCCGGAGATGTATGGACCGAAACCTTCTAATTGTGACGCAGGGCAACTGAAGATGAACCTGGTGGAAAGGCTGAAGAAATTGGGGATTGCCAGAGTTGTCAAACATCCTGAGGCAGGGGATAGTGGGAAAGGTCAGGGGGCAAAGAGCGCCCTCCAGAGGCAGGACTCGGCTGTGTATGTCAATGCAGGCAGCAATCTGATGGGAGGCTTGAGAAGAAACCACAGCCTCCCAGTCATGATTGGGGCCCTTGGAGGCCCCCTGAGCACATCTTCCTCAAAGATGGGAGTCCTCAAGGAGAATTGAGTGTGGAGGATGTTAGCTCACAGAAGAAGGCAAAGCACATAGGATGTAGATCATGGTCAAAAGGAGGTTTAAAGAGAGGGATGTTGAAGGAGGTTCAAGCAAAGATGAGGCATGGAAGATGAGGGAAAGTAGATGCAAACATTAAGAAAAGACAAAGGAAAGAGGAAACCAAAGTTCAGCTTTGAGATCACTGAAATCTTTAACCTTCTGTTCATCAATAGAAGCAACATAAATACAGTGTATTTTCTACCTTTGATATTATATGTATGGAACAGTAAATATCCATGTCTTGAGTATGTTTGACCGGGTTTTACTTGAAACCTTCTACCACTGAAATGAAATTCTAAGGAAAGGAGTAAAGTCCAAATTAACTTATGGGCCAGAACAACAGCTGAGATTTATTTTTAAAAGAAAAAAAAACAGTTTAGTTTCTACACTTAAAATGCTGATACTGGAAAAATAATTACTCTTAAAAAAATCGCGTTGCAAGCTCAGTGGAAAAAAATACTTGTAGAATATATTCATATTCCCAGGTGGACAGCTGTTGCACAAAATAAACTCTCAGGCAAATCTTTAAAAGGGAGTAAATCTATAACTTTTTGTAGATTTTATATTTATTTGATTTAAATGAGAAGCATCTACTTGGCAGAAAGAAATGTTACCTGATATTCTGCTTTTCAGACATATTAAGCACATTGTTGCTGGACTGCTGTAGATTTCCAACACAATCTTGGTTGAAGTGACCATAGACTGGAGCCATCGCATCCAGGAAGATCTGTCCTGCAGAACAAATTGCATGGCAGCCCATTGTCATCTGAACTGTGGAAGGCTCCCATTTCACAAGTTTCAAGAATAGTCAAAGAATCTACTGCACAAAATAATATGCACAATGCTCCAATGCTAAAGAAGAATAAGGTGGCATCTGTTTTTCAAGCTTCAGTAGATAAAAGCCCTGTTTAAAAAAGTAAAGCTTTCTTCCCTGATAACGTGGCAGTCTGAACTTCAGTCCTTACCAATGAATCCATACTGGGATGGAAAACCTCTCTGTTTTGACATTGTGATCAGGTAGAAACAGTCTCTCTCAGCATAGCTTTGGGTGTGAGATCCAAACAGGAAAAAAGAGAAGAAGCACAAATTTTATGTTTGAAATGGAAACTTTTGATGAGTGAGTTTTACGCACATTTGAAAATGACTTCTCTCCCCTTTGTGTGAAAATACTTGCAAATCATGGCATGCTTGCACAAAGCTGCGTGATAAAACTCATTTGTGCTTATGGCATAATGATGCATATATCCACTCTCCCATGGATTGCATTACCTGGCAATGTAAGAGAACAAATCGACATGGTTTGAAGATTAAGCACAAATGATGGCCGTGTGACTTAACATTTAGGCATGGCTGAACTTCATTAAGGTGGCAGTTATATGCATGGTTTCTTATTATTGTACGGACAGGGTGGGAAACGCAGGGCTCTCCAAATGTTGGATAGCAATTCCCAGCATTTTTGCTGGTATGGCAAGTGGTAAGAAATTTTGGGCCTTGGAGTCCAACAATCGCTGCAGAAACATGTGATTCCCACCTCAGCTATAAGATTTATCCCAAACTTCTAAGCAGATTAAATGCAAAATACGTACATTATAACTTTGTATATGCAAACATGCCTTTTCTCCCCTTAACACATCATTCAGGCATTCTAGGTGAGGATTTGTTGTGATTTCTGTAAAGTACAAATACTCTGACAAGAGGAATCAGCTACATCAATATCTTGTCAACAGTTGTGTGTCCGAATCATCCATAAGCTTCGAGTAGCTCCATTACTCTCAGAAACTAAGCAAAATCCTAAGAAGGATAATGGAGACAGAGAAGGAGGGGGGATCTGGCAGGATTCTTAAAACTCACTGAGATACATATGTTTTCATGGACTCATTGACTTCATCAGTATTTGAATTTTCTGTAGCTACATGTCACCTACAAATGTGCCTTTTGTGCTCTTAGAAAACCAGGAAAGTTTTTTTTTTCCTACAAAGCAAAAAACATCTGCAAATGGTAGGCTGATGCATTTGATGAAGTAGATTGAAGTCAATGAAAGCTTAGGCTGAAATCAGGCCATATTGCTACTGCCATATTGGAACTGCATTATTGGGTTGTGTAGATGGGATCTTCATCTCAAAAGATGTTACTAGGCCCCCTTTTCCCCACCCCATGCTGAAACTGACTAACCTAGCTATCCCCTTGAAAACCAAGCAAAATCTTGTAATATATATATTAAATTTATATATCCATGTTAATTCTATTTTAATTTATGAGTACTGTATATGCTAATTTTTTGAAAACATTTAGAGCACATTTCCTTAATATCGTAAAAATAAAAAGCTCATGTTTCTGGGCAACATAAATAAAAAGGGAATTTATTTCATTTACTCTCTGCTGAGCTTGGAATCCAACATATCCTGCAGCAACAAGGAAAAATTAAATCTTGGCATTTGTCCCAAGTTACCCAGAAATACCTGAAGGGAGGCAATGTATGTCTTCTTTCTGTGATCAACAAACTCCTGCTGCATTTTTAAAATCTAGATGTGAACGTGGATTTTTTGTGACTCCATCTTTTTTCATTGTTCATTTTTCTTATCAGTGGCATTCTTTCTGCAGACCATATTCCTGTGTGTTTTCAATAAATGAATGTTATTTGCTTGAAGCGTGCTTTATTCCCCTCTTCTAACAGGAACATTTTGAAAGTAAAAAGAAGACAAGAAGACAGGCAGTCTTTTTGCGTCATTCAACTGTCTTCCCTGCCGGCCCCTTTGTTTGGTGTCCAACTCATAGGAGCAACAAAAACTTGTATTCCCAATGCATTTTGTACAGTGTGCCTCAATTACTTTTTCTCCAGAAAACTCTTAGGTAGCCAGATTGACAGTACTGTTGTGCCAAAGCCATTTTTAAATTTGGAGCCTTGGAACACAAGATACCAGCTAATCAAATCTTGATTAATAGATATGAGAAATACAAGCAGCATTCAAGTTGGTGCTCTTTGACTACAAAAGATAGGATGCTCATTAAGCGAGAAAGGAAACTGAGTTTGGCCATTTCTTTCCTTATATGTATGCTTAAAATGGGTACTATATTTCAATACCAGTTCAGCACAAAAATAGACTGTCATGTAGATATAAATTGTTATTTTTTCATTGTTACCTCAATTCTGTACTTATTTGATAAATGTGTGTGTTCAGCCTCTCTCTATAATTGAATCCGAAAGGCTGTTGAAATGCACATCCTAGAGTTTATATAGATGAGTCATGGTACTGTACAGACAGAAAAAAATAAATTGAAAGGGAAAAATCTTGTCGAGGCAGCATGGGAGGGGGGAAAACATTGGAAATAGTTCCCATTGTACCATTCGCAACAAGGTTGCACAACACGGTTGCACAACACATTATAATCAGTGACCTGTGTTTTTTGCATGTGGTTTTATAGCAGAATTTACATCTGATAAGAAATATATAAAATTGTACAGTGATTTCTTCCCAACAGTGCCAATATTGATGTAGCCATTCATTTCATGCGTCTTGCCAGTTTTCTATTGCCATGAAGCAAAATGACCAACAGTTGACTAAATGGTGCTGATTTGCTTGAAATTGTGTTTGACCAAGAAACTTTCAAATAAAGCAAAATACATTGAATAAAGACTATTAAAATGTGAACGAAGCATGTTGTAAATCATATTTGACAGAATGCTCATAATTGAACGTACAGCAGTTAATAATGTCGGTTGAATAGTTTCCAAAGGGCAAGCAGTCCAAATCGAGTGTGCTTTTAACAGACTGACTTCCTTGAGCAGAAACTCGAGTGCAAGAAGCTGGCCAACCTGGGGCAAGACCCTGCTTCTGGAGGAAGGAGGCAGTCTCCGTTTTGTTCCCAGAGATAATTAGGGCTTTCCCCAGTATACAAGTTGAACTTCTTTAATTGCGGTGAGAGTCAAAGCAGTACATCCTTCCCTTCTTCCATAGACCACCAGAGTGGCACATTGATGAAACGGGTACTATTCAAGCTGTTGCTCAAGCCTCATGCTTGACATTGTGGTGAGACATTCACAAAGTACAAGTTAAGCCAAGGAGACTAACAGTCTGAGCAGCAGAACCACCTCATCCTGCTTCTTAGAGCCAGTGTCGAGGTCATGAATACCAGGATATGCAGGAATAACAAGAGTAAAGCCAGTTGCAGAAGTTGATCAGTTGTCAACCACATGGACTCTCAACAGTTGCTGGGAGATTTCTAGATGGCTGCCTCTGGATACCAGGTGCTTGATTAGTCAGCATCTCCTATTTCATAGTTCCTATGATGTTCCTTCTTCACTCTTTGCTGGCTCTAATAGGGTGAGTAGGTGGGTTCTGTTGAGGCAGGAGTCTCTCTGTTGCTTCAACCATCAGCATCCAGATTTAGGGAGCTGGTTTTCTGGAAACAGATTCCAATGTCTAAGTATCGGGTTCCAGAGGATGAGTTGTGACATCAATGACCAGCTACTACTGGCCTCTATGTAGGCTATTAGCGTTTTCTTGGAGAAGCATCTGAAAAAGAGCATGCAGGAAGTGATGGCCTGCATCCGATGTTGCATAGCACAAATCCCCAAATGCAAAGTCAGATGTGAATTGTCTTAAGTGACATATGTGTTGAATAGCAACATTCTCCAATCAAACCAAGACGCTGAACCTACAACTGAACATCCATGTACAATTAAATCAGCATGTGTCTCAGCGCCACAGCGTGTTACTCCATTTCAACCAGCTTGCACTGAATTATGATTATTTGTACCAAGTAAAAATACCCAGGATTCTGACAAATCTGTGAAAATCCAATGTCTGCGGCTTCCTGTTTGATTTGACCTTTAAATATCAGAAAATAAGGGACTGGGGCAGTTGTAGAGTATCCAAGGAGACTGCACTCTACATGTTTGGCGAGCCTCTTTTTACTGAACTTTTTGGCATTGAAATTACTTCTCACTGCAATGCTTTTTCCCATTTATTTGCCTTAAATTTAGATGGTAAGCCTGAGAGTAGGAATCTCATACTACTTAACTTGTAAGCTGCTCTGCCAGCTTTCTGGCCAAAGGGCAGCAGGACAGATGCATGTTTTGAATAAGCTGGCACACAAACCAAACTCTGTCTTTATCCGCATAAACAGCTCCATAGCAATCATTTATTTTTGGCAGTGACATGAATAAAACCGATTATTAAAAGGAACACAAAACTACGAGGCATCCAATGAAATCCAAAGGAAAAAAGGAGATACTCAAAAGATTGTTAGCTTGTTCATTAAAAGGTTTTCAAAACATTTTTTGAAATGTGTCTCCAGCATCTTCTGTGAATCCGCTTTATGGGGTCATAAGAAATTTCTGCATACCACTTATGCAACCAAATTAAAACCTTAATACAGTTCCTGCAGATCTAAGGTTGGATCTACACTGCCATATAATCCAGTTCAGAATGCAGATTAAATGCATTAAACTGGAATATATGAGTCTACACTGCTGTTTGATCTGCATTTTGAAACTGGATTATATGGCAATGTAAATCCAGCCTCAAACAGTTATCAGTTAAACAGGAGGCATATAAATATAAGGTTCAATACCCCTAAACTCTGTGAAAATTAAGGGTATCCTACACATGAGCAACTGGATAAGAGTAACTCATTAAGGTTTAACATTTTTAACTATTACATTTTATAATAAGCTCATTATTTCCAGTTGAGGAATTACTCGTGTCTGGGTATTTAGTACCCAGTTAAGCTTCTGGCTTAACTTTTCGATATTTTTGGGAATGCTGTATTTAAGAGCAAGTTTGGCATTCCATTATTTATTTACTTGTAATATCTCAGCTGATTTGTACTGATGGATGGTGGGATCGAATGAATTTATGCACACTATGCCTTTAAACGTAGAATGGAAGGAGCCGGACTTGTTTCCATGGCGAGAAAGAAAGCCACCCACAAAGATTTCCAGGCCTTGGGTTAAATACACAGGATGAAAACAGGCACCAGGCATTTAGGTTGTAAGCTTTCCATCATTGTTTTTAAGTGTCTATAATTACAGGTCTACCCTGAGATATTTGGACAGCGGAAGGAAGTATTCAGAAAGTCTCAATAGCGGTATGTAAACATACAAAGTCACTTGTTTCAGTTAACCTGTTACTAGTAAGTGACATATTTCTTTTCCTCTCTTTGTTGGTGGTAAAAAAACTAAAATTAGTTGTGAAAATGAAGAAAGGGGAGTTGAAAAAGAAATGTGGCGACACCTTTAAGACTAGCTGGTTTTTATTTGAGCGTGAGTTTTGATGGATATTAGTCGTTTTTCTTCAGATGTAGTACTGAGTGATAGTAAAGCCTCAGGTTAAATAATAAATATATATACAATTGTGGGACTGGGATAGCATGGAAGAAGGCAAATCATGAATTAAGAGGAGTTCAGTTATTGCAAACTGACCTTTTGAAGGGCAGTCTCCATAAACACAGGGTCAGCCCTCCATTAGTAGAGGAAAGCAGCCAGTCGAGGAAGTAACAGATGCAATTAAAGTGGAGTCAAATTGTATTCTGCAATATCTGAGAATACTGAATAGCTCCTTTATCTTTAATCATAGCATAGTAGAGGGAATTTCAGCATGTGTTGCTTGTTACTAAGAAGCCACAACTGCTAAAATCCCCTTTCTGAACTTTTGAAGGAACAGGAGTAATCTCTAGTTCTCAGTGTGGCAATCCTACCTCCCATGTCCCCCATCTCCGACAATCCCCAGTCAACTTGATATGTGCTAATGGGAGCTGTCATCTATAACGTATTTGGAGGCAAGGCTCTGCTGTTGGAAAAGCAAGAAACCTGCAGTATTCAATGAAACGCTTCCTGTGTGTGTATTGCTAATGTCCTGTTCCTGATAAAGATTCTCGATTCCCAGTTTGTCAAGACCTCCTCCACTGGTTTCAGGAAACCTCTGGGACCCTTCCACACAGCACAATTATAGCATTTTGATTCTACTTGAATCACCATGGCAACATCTTGTGGGATCTTATGATTGGCTATTGGAAACTTCAAACAGACTCTGAACAAACTACAGACCCAAGAAAAACTCCATAAGTTGCAGCTACGGCAATTAAAGTGACATTATAGGAATTTGAATTTTGATGCTCTTGTTTTCTTTTTCCTCTTGCAGGATTCTTTTGAGAGCAGCAAACATGTCCCAGTCTCAGTTCTTGTACTGTCCGTGTTGGGATCCTTGGAAGACGGGATGTAAAAGGCTGATAAAAGCCAAAGCTGATCAGCTGGGTCAGAGGCCCAAGTACGTAGGAAGGACTGAGACATTTGGAGTAAAGGGTGGGCAGGAATGGCACTCTCTTCGGTAATTACTGACTCAGTGCCTCTGGGCCAAATGGGGCCACTGGGAAGCAAGAGGGAGGTGTGGGGGATCCTTGGGACAGCCCCAAGGTTTGCAGGTGCATTATCAAAGTCTAGACCAGTGGTTCTCAACCTGTGGGTCCCAAGGTGTTTTGGCCTACAACTCCCAGAAATCCCAGCCAATTTACCAGCTGTTAGGATTTCTGGGAGTTGAAGGCCAAAAACATCTGGGCCCCAGGTTGAGAACCACTGGTCTAGACTTTGATAAGAAACTGGTTAACTGATTAAACTTTGTAACAATTATGTAATTTAAAAATGAATGCCAATAACGTAGGTGGTTATTTTCCTGCCATTATTATCCCTGGAAAGGTGGACGTTCGATTCATGCTGGAGGGACTAAAATTCCTAGAGAAGAGACAAAAATGGCTATATTGTCTCAGGTAACAATATAGCCATTTTTATTTATGGTTTTTCACTTTTAGAGGGCTCCTGTGCTCCTAACCCCAGCCAATTTGAAATGTTCAGTGGGAAGCTGACCTTAGAGAGAATATTTTAATCAAATCCCCATGAATAATCACATCTACAAAAGTCAAACCCGCAAATGTGGAGGGCCAACAGTAATTGCATAGTATATTCAACCCCTAATAGTATATCGGGGAGCTCCCAGTGGCACAGTGAGCTTGTTGACCAAAAGGTCGCAGGTTCGAATCCGGGGAGCAGTGTGAGCTACCGCTGTCAGCCCTAGCTTTTGCCAACCTAGCAGTTCGAAAACATGAAAATGTGAGTAGATCAGTAGGTACCACTCCAGCGGGAAGTTAACGGCGCTCCATGCAGTCATGCCGTCCACTTGACCTTGGAGGTGTCTACGGACAACGCCGGCTCTTCGGCTTAGAAATGGAGATGAGCACCACACCCCAGAGTCAGACATGGCTGGACTTCATGTCAGGAAAACCTTTACCTTTACCTAATAGTATATCAGTCATGAACATCTGAGAGAGAGAAAAAATAAATCATGATGGTGGTGTTACAGTTTAGCATTGAAAAACTCTTAAAAACTTTATTGGGTCTCAAAGTATTGCTTGTTTGACTTGGAGTTGAAGCAAAAGTTGCTTCAACTCCATATTACTTCATATCATGCAGATGTAACTTTTTACCAAGTCTCTGCTGCAAACTCCTGGAATACATAAGACCAAAGCCAAAGAAAGCTAGAATACAGATAGTAGATGTTCCCAGCCCCTAAAGAGTTCAAAATATTGTGAAAAGGGTATGCCTAGTAACTTGCAATACCAGTTAAACTAGAGCTAGATGCAAAACAGAAACAGTATAGTCATAGGAAGCAAGGCTGTTTTGAACACTGTCAGAGCTCTTAGTTAATTAACATTAGTTAATTTTTATTAAATATGTTGATACTATTGTAGTTCGTGAGCTTACAAATGTCAAAAGTTGTTAAGGACTGGCTTTGGGGGGAGATCTGGTTGATTGATTGATCTATTGTTTGTTTTTAAAACTAGATCAATGCCTTTAGGTATGATCCCAAGAAAACTACCTAAGACCCAGTTTCCTGCAGGTTTTAATAGGTAAGTGATTAATATACATGAAGATATAAATCAAGATGAATTATATGCAAAATTGAGTTGGCTTTCCAAAGTACTGCATCAGATGGCTTTTCTCAAGGATTGGGAAGCTTGGCTTTGCAGAGCCGTACCTCCTCTCCACTGAGAATGGAGTCTGTCCCTTTCCTCTGCAGAGAGAAGCGACACAAGTTTGGCTGAGCTTCTCTCATGAAAGAAAGGAGTCCAAGACAGACTTTCCACACAGGAAAGGGAACAACTCTTTTCTCAGCAAAGAGAGCTCTTTGGCTCTGCACAGCCAAACTTCCCATTGAATTTGGCACTTGGAGAGTGCACTTAGGAGTCAGTGCAGACAGCCTTTGTTCCCTTACCTTTGCCTATATCCACAGAAAGAGCCTTCACAAATCACTAAAATCACATAAAACAAACTCGCATAATACATGGGCCTACAGTACAAACCGTAAAAAGGAACCCTCTCAAACCTCAGGAATCCAAATTTTGTATTCTCCAACAGTAAGTTGTAAATGACATTAGTTGACATCCATTTCATCATTTGTATCCCACAACTTTTCGACAAACGATCAGTATATAATAATGTGGACTATACCATCAGGTTCTCAGACCCCTTCTACACTGCCTTATCAAGGGAGAAAAACCACATCCACTTTGAACTGGATTATATGAGTCTACACTGCCATGTAGTCCCGTTCAAAGCAGATAATCTGGATTTTATATTGCAGAGTAGAAGGAGCCTCAGATTATTCCCAAATCCCTTTGACATAGAATTACCTTCATTACCTTCAAATAATGCCTGGTTTTGTGGTATGGAAGCTAGTCGTATAGACAAGTTGGATCACTTTAGAAGCTGGATTTTTCATGATTTGGATAAATACCCTATAGAATAAAGATTTGGTTTCATTTCAATCAGTTCTTCACATTCTCTCTCAGAAAAAATGCATTTAGGTCTGGCTTCATGTTAAGACAAAATTTGTTCACTTCTTGCAGTTATGTCATCCTTGTTCAGCACCTTTTTCAGTTTTGTCCTCCAGCAAAGCTACTACATTTACTATATTAAATCAGCCCTCCTTCCCTCCCTCTCTCCTTTTCTTTCTTTTAGTGTTTGTTTTACTGCTTTTAGCCAAATGTGCTTAGATAAGTATTGTCGAAGGCTTTCATGGCCGGAATCACTGGGTTGTTGTAGGTTTTTTCGGGCTGTATGGCCATGGTCTAGAGGCATTCTCTCCTGACGTTTCGCCTGCATCTATGGCAAGCATCCTCGGAGACCTCACTACCTCTGAGGATGCTTGACATAGATGCAGGCAAAACGTCAGGAGAGAATGCCTCTAGACCATGGCCATACAGCCCGAAAAAACCTACGACAACCCAGTGCTTTAGATAAGCTTTCCAAAGGTAACTCTAGGTGGCCAATTCATTATGCTAATTAATGTAAATGTTGTGTTCAGCTGATGTATTCTGTATTAAATTCTACCATATTATGTGCATTGATAAGGAAAGGAAATTGAATATATACATCAGGCATTTTGACCTGACCAACAATGATAAGAACGGAGGAGGCTATCTTGGAATGATCTACACCAGTGTTTCTCAACCTGTGGGTCCCCAGATGTTTTGGCCTTCAACTCCCAGAAATCCTAACAGCTGGTAAACTAACTAGGATTTCTGGGAGTTGTACGCCAAAAACACCTGGGGACCTACAGTTCGAGAACCACTGATCTACAATGTAAAATGAATGCAGTTTGACATCACGTAAACTGAGATGGAATAATGGGAGTTTGGCAGTATCTTTAGTCTTTTTTGCCAAAGAGTGTTAGGGCCCCATGAACCTAAACCTTCATAGCATTGAGGCATGCAGGTATTTGGGACACATTGCTTACGTCCAGGGGCGGCTCAACCGTTACGCAAAGTAAGCCGTTGCGGAACACTTCATTTCCCCCAGGGGCGCTCTTCGGCAGCAGCCTCCTCCTCGCCCCTCTGTTGCTCCGTGTCTAAAAGAGTCCCTTCCTCACCAGGCTGGGCTCCCAAGCCTGGCGCCCAGCCTGGGGAGGAAGTAGGACAGAGCAACAGAGGGGTTAGGGGGAAGCTGCTGCTGCTGAGGCCCTCTTCAACAGCAGCCTCCTCCTCGCCCCTCTGCTACTCTATGGAGAAAAGGGTCCCTTCCTCGCCAGGCTGGTCTCCCAAGCCTGGCGTCCAGCCTGGGGAGGAAGGAGCACGGAGCAGCAGAGGGGCGAGGGGGAAGCTGCCGCCGCTGAGGCCCTCTTCGGCAGCAGCCTCCTCCTCGCCCCTTTGCTGTTCCGTGTCTAAAAGGGTCCCTTCCTCGCCATGCTGGGCTCCCAAGCCTGGCGCCCAGCCTGGGGAGGAAGGCGCACGGAGCAGCAGAGGGGTGAGGAGGAAGCTGCTGCCGCTGAGGCCCTCTTCAGCAGCAGCCTCCTCCTCGCCCCTCTGCTACTCTTTGGAGAAAAGGGTCTTTTCCTTGCCAGGCTGGGCTCCCAAGCCTGGCGCCCAGCCTGGGGAGGAAGGATGACAGAGCAACAGAGGGGCGAGGGGGAAGCTGCCGCTGCTGAGGCCCTCTTTGGCAGCAGCCTCCTCCTCACTCCTGTGCTGCTCCGTGTGTGTGTGTGTGTATATATGTGTGTGTGTGTATATATGTATATACACACATACACACACATACATATACATACACAGGCCTGGGCCAGTTTTGGCCCTCCTTCCAGGGTCATTTGGGAATTGTAGTTGCTGTGATTATAGTTAACTAGAATCAACGAGCATTCTGAACTCCACCAATGATGGAATTGAACCAAATTTGGCACACAGGACTCCCATGGCCAACAGAAAATACTGAAAGGGTTTGGTGGGCATTGACCTTGAGTTTTGGAGTTGTAGTTCACCTACACCCAGAGAGCACTGTGCACTCAAACAATGAAGGATTTAGACCAAACTTGGCACAAATACTCCATGTGCCCAAATGTGAACACTGGTGAAGTTTGGGGGGAAATAGATCTTGACATTTGCGAGTTGTAGTTACTGGAATTTATAGTTCACTTACAATCAAAGAACATTCTGAACCCCACTAACGATAGAATGGGGCCAAACTTCCCACATTGAATCCCCCATGACCAACAGAAAACACTGTTTTCCGGTGGTCTTTGGCGACCCTTCTGACACCCCCTCACGATCCCCCCAGGGGTCTCAACCCCCAGGTTGAGAAATGCTGCCTTATGGCCATCCAGACCAACTCCCTTCACCAGAGCAAGAAAACATAATCAAAGCCCTCCTGATAAAGAGCCATCCTGCCATAGATATAGATAGATCTATAGGATTCAAACACACACACACACACACACACACACACACGGAAGATATAATATCATAGATTTGAAAGGGATCCCTAAAGAAGGACAATGATATGTTTTATGTTCTAGAGTAGGCAAACCAGACAATCGCTACGTCAACACAGACAAAGAAACAACAAGAAATACTGTTTACCCACAAGCATCAAGAAATTACATATATTAGAAACCAACTTTCTCATTACTTTCTTTTCAAGATGATCAGACTGGCAGGGGATGGCTAGCATATATATATGTGTGTTTTGGACTTCAACTTCCACAATTCCAAATAACCAGTAGGATGTTCAAAATACCTGGAGGGCCAAAATTTGTCCATGCCTGCCCCCCCCTCTCTCTCTATATATATATCAGTGATTGGTTAGGGGGGGCGCCAAAATACTGTTTGCTTACCGTTGAAAATTACCTAGGGCCGCCTCTGCTTACGTCAGATTTTTTATAGACTTGGCGAAGTGTTGGCAAGTGTGTTACTGTGGTAAACATAACCATCTCTTTTTCTTCCAGAGCAAAATTTACCTCCAGGACTTGTATACAACCTTTAAGAAGCAGGGAGCCTCGGGATGTGAGTGGAATATTTTGAACTTGCATCATTTAAATTTTAAGAACATGCATTACATTTGGAGAGGGGTTGTGTAATGATTGAGCTACTATGAGTTTTCCGGGCTACATTGCCATGTTCCAGAAGCATTACCTCCTGATTTTTCACTCAAATCTATGGCAGGGATCCTCAGAGGTTTTGAGGTCTGTTGGAAAGAAGGCAAGTGAGGTTTATATATCTGTGGAATAACATGTTATGTAATGTTGGTTATTGCTGTCAAAGATATGAGCAGTCTAAAAAATCATACAAGTTACTATCAAACAAGAAAATGTTTTAAAATGTTAAAACAAAATTGGCCGTTCCTCAAAAACCTTACGTGATGTGACAATTTTGAAGTTATTTATGTGATCAGCATCAAAAATATATTTTGTACACAAAAAAGTTGTAAAGCAAACAAAATGCCTGTTTTCCAGTGTAACCCAAGACTCCAGAGGCCAGGGCCTTCTCTTTTCACCCTAGATATCCAAAGAGTTTGAAGAAGAAGAGGTCATTCCTGGTTTTACCTTGTCTCAGAGTAAAGAACATATCGATGTTACTTTGGGAGAGGACTTTTTTGAGAGGAAAAAATCAACTGAGAAACCTGCCAAGGTGATTGTGCCCAGGTAATCTGTAGCATTACTCCCAGAGTATAATCCTCTACACTTGCCTTCAAAGTAGCAGCTAAAACATATCAATTTGTATAAGCTTTGGTGGAATAAGGCAGTGTTCCTTTTATTTATCTTGCCTGCTGTTCATATGGCTTTTATTTCATTTCAGCAGTCGTTTTATAATTAATGAATTTTTATATTTGTAATTTCAGATGTATGTAACTCAGTGGTTCCCAACCTGTGGTCCACCAGTGGTCCACAAGAACTAAAATATGGTCCATGGCCTCACCTTTACTACACCATTGCAATGTGACTGACTAGTCTCACAAAACCCTCTTATAATGCCAAGGCTTATTAAATATGGTTTTCTGTGTACAAGCAGATGGCAACTACTGGATGCCATATGTTCTGTATCGAAAACTTGTGCAGATGTCTATCCAACGCAATTTTCTAAATCAGCACCTCAAATAACCAAACCAAATCTAAAGTTGACCAAAACCAATTCATATCCCTTTTGATACTAATGTTGGAGAGTGGTCCCTGGTAAAAATGGTCCCTGGTCAAGTGGTTCCTGGTCAAAAAAAGGTTGAGAACCACTGATGTAACTGATGACTGTAGATTTGTGGTTTGAGCTGTTCCCACAACTCTTATGAAAAAGGAGAAGACTGAATAATAAATAAAATAACAGTAATAATATTGATAACAACAAAAAGAAAGGAATATATTTTTGCCTATCAATAGTTTTGTTCTTGACTTCTTCTAAGAACCAATTCTAAGCAGGTGCAGGAAGTAACAATAGTAGTGTTTTAAAATTATATGGAACATTTTTATGCTTCAACAGAAACTCCAGATGTCGGCAGAGAGTTTCTTGTGTCTTACATTTTATGTATTTTGTTTTCTGGTTTTGTTATGCTTTGTGTTTTATTGTGTTTACTGTACTGTTGGGCATGGCCTCATGTAAGCCACACCGAATCCCCCTGGGGGAGATGGAGCGGGGTATAAATAAAGGTTATTATCATTATTATTATTATTATTATTATTATTATTACAGATCCCATGGTAAAGAACTCTGTTTCTGATTAAAATGCACAGCACTTACATTAGTAAATATAAATATTATCTCCGTATCTGCAGCAGTTGTCTAGTGATTTCTCTTTGACACTTATATTAGGAAATATAAATGTTATCCCAGTTTCTGCCATAAGCAGCTAATGATTAGCTATGTCAAACCTGGAGTGCATCACGAAGAATTCCACACAATCATAGGTAAGACTGGGGTTCAACGAAACTTGTAAAAGTTACTTTTTGGAAAACACATCCCAGATTTTGCAACACTTGTATGTGGAATTCAGTATATGGCACACCCATAAATTAAAACAGTGCAGTCAGTTACCAATAAGGCTTTCTAAAGTGAGTGTGCTTATCTGGCTACAGTGGTTGAGTAATCACCCTCTGTTTCTTTTTCTCTTCCTCTACCCTGTCTTCCTATAAACTCCTCTGCAGCACTCCACCAAAGATTGAAACGTAAGTACTGTGCTTCCCCTTCCCATTTCTTTTCTTGCATCGCAATGACAACAGCCTCCATCTGCCCCTTCCGATATCTTTTGAATGTAGCCCCTTTTTCCCAGGATTTTGTTTGACAGTTGCTTGGCCTGATGTACCATATTGTGGCCCAGTTAAATCACTGAACATGGTTATCTTGGCAACTGAAAAAAATTGCCCTGAAGAAAGCCAGAAACACCATGAAGCGAGGAATTGCTTTGCTTATTGGCCAGCTCTCCCTCATTCTCTTTCCTCTCACACATGGATGTCTTTTCTGAAATAGTAACTGTCAGGTCCTATTTAGGATGATGCTGTTCAAAGGCGCTTTTGCTGCCCTGGAGGCACAGTGAAAAGCAGCATGGAAAGGAGCTGTAATGACTTAACAGCAGGGCAGTTAAGGACAACCAAATGGTGTACAATAGCCTCCCTGTTTCCACAGTGGTTAAAGACCAGGTGCCCCGTGAACATGAAAAAAATGCAAAGAAAGAACACATCTGTAGGAATATCTGGGTCTTCTAGAATGACTCTATGATCAACCTCTGGCAGAAATTATTTTTTTCTCTGTTTTTCATATGTGGAAGAAGGCAGGCAAACAAAAGCATCCCAATGTATTGTTGAAGGCTTTCATGGCTGGAATCACTGGGTTATTATAGGTTTTTCAGGCTATATGGCCATGTTCTAGAAGCATTCTCTCCTGATATTTCACCTGCATCTATGACGGGCATCCTCAGAGGTGTGAGGTCTGTTGGAACTAGGAAAATTGGGTTTATATATCTGTGAAATGTTCAGGGTGGGAGAAAGAACTCTTGTCTGTTGGAGGAAAGTATGAATGTTTCATTTGGCCACCTTGATTAACATTTGATGGCTTGGCAGTTTTTAGATGTGGTTTGTTCCTGCCTGGGGGAATATTGTTGAGAGGTGATTAGCTGTCCCTGATTGTTTCCTCTCTGGAGTTGCCCTGTGTTTGAGTGTTGTTTTACTGTTATAATTTGGGACTTTTTTTAATACTGGTAGCCAGATTTTGTTCATTTTCATGGTTTCCTCCTTTCTGTTGAAATTGTCCACATGCTTGTGGATTTCAATGGCTTCTCTTTGTAGTCTGACATCGTGGTTGTTGGAGTGGTCCAGCATTTCTGTGTTCTCTGAGGATGCCTGCCATAGATGCAGGTGAAATGCCAGGAGAGAATGCTTCTAGAACATGGCCATAGAGCCCAAAATACCTATAATAACCCCAAAGCATCCCAGCCTTCTATTTTTTCCCATCACCATTGTTCCATAGATCATGTAAACATATACAACCTGATCATACAAAGTCTGGGCTCAGTCGTAGACCTCTTTCGGCACAGAACCAGAACTCCATCACATGATGCAGGGCTCCATCCTGGCTCTGTGTTGAAAGCATCCTATGACAGAGCCCTGAGAACATGGGAGACTTGTTCTCATATGGTAGAATGGGGATGGGGACGTTTCCCCTGTGGGATGGGGAAGTGGACAATGCAGGGTGCCGGGTTCCCATGCTGCCCACCGGATTTGCTTTGCTGCCAAACAAATGCCCCTGTTCAATGTGATTAGGTCCTTAGTTGCAATCCTTGGTTCCCAACATTCCTTGTGGCATTACGCTATTTGCTTGGCGCTCACTGTCCAGGCCCCATGTTTTGCAGGGAGGATGTCGTTGCTGACTTAGTGGAACAGATTTCTGAGCTCACGGCAATTATGGAACAATTGCGCCGAGATCACCAGGTGACCCACAAACAGGTGAGGTCCTTCAGTGGAGCGGGCCTGTTGGCATCTCTGGGACATCACTGCACTACAAGAGAAATCCTGCAGTGGGCAGAAAAAGGGATACTTATAACCAAACTTCCAAAAACCAGTTTCCACATAGTTGTTTTAAAAGACATTTCTGAAGCAACAAAGATGGTGTTCTAAGATTAATATAAAGTACTGGGGTGGGAATGCATCTGCATAGAGGCTGTTGGGTCATCACGACCCTTCACATCTAATGAAACTACTAGGAATCCACCTGAAAAGAGGACTCCTGCTATGGAAACAGGGCAGGATGTGAATGTGGCATGCTGTATTTTTATCTTTTAATTGTGTTTTAACTTGTTCTATATGTGGTGTTTAATGGTTTGTTTAATTCCTTTTTAAAAACTTACATAAATAAGATTTTCACTAGACTTTGTATTAACTCCCCCCCCCCCCCTTAGCTGCTTTGAAATCCTTGCCAGGAGAAAGGTGAGATATTTATGTATAAACCACCAAATACTGTTATGGTACAAATTGTCTCCTTTCTCTTCCTAGATGGAAAAAGAGATGGAAGAAAGATGCAATGAGATGCAAGAGGAACATGAGAACAAAATAAAGTATGGCTATCTTTTCTTGCAAAGCTTATATTTATTCTGTAAACAGGTGGGGAGCTAGTGGCACTGCAACTGCTTTGTCTTCATCTCTCCGACTTTTGGATTTTATGGATTTTAACTGAATCGTTTAATGCCAATCATTAATTATGTTTTAATGTTTGCATATTTGTTGATTTTAAATTGTATAGAATGCTTTTAAAGTAAGCTGTTTTGAGTCCTCTGGTGGAGAGAAAAAGCAGAGTAATAATAATAATAATAATAATAATAATAATAATAATAATAGGGCCAGCTTCAGCACAGCAGGTTAAACTACCTGCTGTAGTCAATCTTGTCCATCGAAAGGCTGCTAGTTCGAAGCTGGGTCAGGGTAAGCTCCTGGCCTTTTGCCCAGCTTCTGCCTACCTAGTGGTTGGAAAACAAATGTGAGTAGATAAATAGGTACCACTTTTAAAATAAGTGGGGAGGTATTCTAAGGCACCCATAAGGAATGCTGGTGATTTGATTTTAAAAAATAGAGAAATTTATAAATAAGCTCTTTATTAGGAAGATGGAGTGACAGCACCATCGGCCGAAACCGAGCAGAACACCTTCCAACATGCCAAAAGATGCGGAAAACTGATATATATACTTCCTATCTATGTATAATTGTCTGTCTAGTTGTATATAAACGACATTGAATGTTTGCCATATATGTGTGTTCTGAGATCCACTCTGAGTCCCCTGCGAGATGAGAAGGGTGGAATATAAATGCTGTAAATAAACAAACAAATAAATAATCTCATTAATCTCTGGAACTCCCATTCCAAAGAAGTTAGAATGGCTCCCTCCTTGCTTTCATTTAGGAACCAAGTTCAAACCTTCCTATGGAAGCAGACCTTTTCTGAAGGAGAATAGTAGCATGGCAAACGCCAAATCTACGTGTGCAATGTGTGAATTATATAGTTGACCTCCAGCAATGTATTTTTGACCATGGCCTAAGAAATTGATATTAGATGAGGTTTTCACCTTTTGAATATTTGAACTATGTCTTTGCTAGTTATTTATTAAATGTGTCGCATGTTTTATCATTTTTTATTAGAAACTAGCCGTCCCCTGCCACGCGTTGCTGTTGCCCACTCTAGTGGTCATGAGGGTTCTGTGTGGGAGGTTTGGCCCAATTCTATCATTGGTGGGGTTCAGAATGCTCTGTGATTGTAGGTGAACTATAAATCCCAGCAACTACAACTCCCAAATGTCAAGATTCTATTTTCCCCAAACTCCACCAGTGTTCACATTTCGGCATAGTGAGTATTCGTGTAGAGTTTGGTCTAGACCCATCATTGTTTGAGTCCAAAGTGCTCTCTGGATGTAGGTGAACTACTTCTCCAAAACCAAAGGACACTGCCCACCAAACCCTTCCAGTATTTTCTGTTGTTCATGGGAGAACTGTGTGCCAAGTTTGGTTCAATTACATCGTTGGTGGGGTTCAGAATGTTCTTTGATTGTAGGTGAACTATAAATCCCAGTAACTACAACTCCCAAATGACAAAATCAATTATTTTGAGTGAAGGACATACATTGGGTTGTTAGGTGTCTTGTGTCCAAATTTGGTGTCAATTCATCCAGTGGTTTTTGAGTTCTGTTAATCCCACAAACTAACATTACATTTGTATTTATATAGATGTTGTGGTTTGATGATTATGTTTTATGCTGTGTAAAGTTTTTGTTGTTCATGTTGTTCGCTGCTTTGAGTCCCAATCCAAGGAGAGCAGGAAATAAATAAATAAACAAATAAACAAACAAACAAAGAAAGAAACAAACAAACAAACTTGCAACCAGCATGGCCAACATTAAGGGATAGTGGAGAAATAGTATCAATCATCTGAAGGGCCAAATGTAGCCCAACCTTTCTACATTCTTCCTTTTAAGTTTTGTTTTTTTAGAGCTTTCCCATGAAGCTTGAATGGAAAATAGTAATCTGCAGCCTTGAGAAACTAGTTTCCCAGTCTTTTCTTTGGAAATCAAGAAAAAAGTACTTTGCAACTTTCTGCTACATATTTTTATTCAGAAGTAAGGCTAAGTTAAATTAAACAATACTTTCATCATTGTGCTCTTTGTGAAATCACACATCTGGTGGTTTGTGCACCTGCGCAGCAATCTCGGAAGCCAAAGCACCTTAAAACAGCTGTTGAAGCATACCAAGATTGCTGCGCAGGCGCACAAACTACCATATATGCGAATTTCACAGATGACCACTCGAAGAAACATGGTTACAGGTAAACAACCATTCCTTCTCTCACGTTATGCATTTAGACACTTAGAACCAAACTAGATATGCCACTTAATGTATAATTGTGTTGAATATGTATTTATTTATTATTTTTTTTAAAAAAAATACCTGCAAATCCAAACTACATAGAAGACTAATGCAAAAATGCTTCATTGATGACACTTTGTTGTGCTGGTTTTGCAGAGAACTTCAGGTGTTTCATGAATCAGAATTGGCTGCCATGGAAGATCAATACAAGAAGGAGTTGCGGAACGAGAGAGCAACGGCTCAAGAGAAGCTGAGTATGGCTCACAGCTTAAATACCTGTAATACACAAGATGTGTAGCTATACCGAAACATACACACTTTAGGGGAAAGGAGCTGGAAGGGAGAGAACAACAAAATAAGATTGCCTTGCCTACTGCTTCCTTCATTTCCCACTTGAAATTTCAGAACATTTAAAATACACATTTGGAGGCACAGAATGGGAATATTTTGGAGGGAGCCTGACTTGACGGAGACAAAGGGAGGGAGGAGTGTTTAAGTGCCCACGTCCTTCCACCATGTCTTCAGTCCTCAGTTGAAACAGAATGTGTGAGAGAGCATGAAATAGCCAACTTAAGTCATCTTTAACTTCAGAAGACAGTGTTTCTTTAAACATTAGGAGAGTCACCCAGTTTCCTTAAAACAAGACTAATGAGGATCAAGGCCTTATATGTACAGTGGACCCTCAAGTTAAGAGCGTCCTAACTTAAGTGTGAGATAAGAGCTGTCTCTTGGCCCAAGATTTGCTTTACATACAAGCAGCATTTTTAGTTAAGAGCTAGCACCAGAGGGAGCACTAGCACCAGAGTCCAGGGCTTTAGGGCTTCAAGGGAACAGCCTCTGTGCCTTGTGCTTTTTGTCCACGTTGGGAGATTGCGGTCTGCTTTGCTTTTGTCCACTTTGAGGAACTTTGGGTTAGTTGATTTTGTGGCTTCATGAAGAGAGAGAATGGGAGAGAGCAAGAGAGGGAGGGAGGACAGTATGAAGAAAAGGATGCTTCTGCCTCTTCACTTTTAACTTTGTGCTTCTAACATTGTGCCACAACTTTGTGCTTCTACCATTTTAAAGTTGATCTTTTTATTGTTCTATGTGAATATGCATCTATACATTATTTATTATTTACTAGCTGTCCCCTGCCACGCGTTCCTGTGGCACAGTCTGTGTATATGTGTTTCGTGTGTATATATGTTTGTGTATATGTGTGTTTGTGTGTGTGTGTGTGTGTATATATATGTGTGTGTGTGTGTGTGTGTGTGTGTAATTTTGTGCATGCGTTGTAATGTATTTTTTTAGCTTTTTAAGTCTCTTCTGTTGTGTTTTTCAGTGTTTTTATGAGTGATGGTCACTCATTGGCCTGATAGATGTATTGTGCCCAAACTTGGTGTCAGCTCATCCAGTGGTTTTTGAGTTATGCTAATCCCACAAACAAACATTACATTTTTATTTATATAGATAAACACATAAAAATGAGGTGGGGGGACGGAACAGATGAATTGCATTTCAGTGGTGACATTTCGCTTTGAGATAAGAGTGTTTTGAGTTAAGAGATCGGTCGTGGAACAAATTAAACTCTTAACTCAAGGTATTGCTGTACATAGAAGAAATTCACTATAGTAAAGTCTAATTTAACACATATGCCACGAATTAGGAAAGTATAACATGAGACAGGCTTCAGACTTTGAGTAATGCTGATAATGTCTACTATCTGAGGAAAGCATGTAACTGAAAGCATAACCTCTTCATTATATAGATGAAAAAAGAAACTTTTAATTAATTGGCTCAGTGTTGGCTCAGTACTTACCTGTTTTTTTCTTTTTCAGCTACGATGCAGAAAGAGTACAAATATCTGAAGAACGCATTCCGTGTGTATCAGGTAAGATTTAAATTATCACCTAAAATGATGAGCTTTATTTGGGGCCCATTAATTAGTGAGCATGGAACATTTTTCATTTTTCAGATGTAATTCAAAGAGTGCTGGTTATCACAAATTATTTTGGTTACTTTTGAATAAGTTAAACACATAAATCAGGGATGGGCAATTTTGGGGTGAGCAGAAGTCAATTTTTAGTCTCTAGGACTTTAGGTTGACTTCACTAAGACTCCCGGTCCCTGCAATCAAACCATGAAAGTGGAACTAAGTGGATATTAATTTTGGCTTTCATTTTTAAAAGTATCCGTAGTGGGAGTTGGGTTCTTCAAACTCTGAAAAATGCAACATTCATCCTTTAAAACTCAATGCAACTTCCCCATCGAGAAATAATTGCACAGGTGATAGGCTCCAGGTTGGGAGAATAAATTCAAAAGAAAGACACGCCGTTTTCAAAAACATCCTCTCCTCCCGTGTGTGTGTGTGTGTGTGTGTAGAAAATATTTCATGCATCTGATAAATATGCAGTCTAGATCATGAAGGTCCGTGCTGTATAATAAATTTCTTTATAGAATCATAGAATCCTAGGGTTGGAAGAGACCTTGTAAGCCATCCAGTCCAACCCCCTGCCAAGAAGCAGGAATATTGCATTCAAAGCACCCCTGACAGATGGCCATCCAGCCTCCCCTTAAAAGACTCCAAAGAAGGAGCCTCCACCACCCTCCAGGGCAGAGAGTTCCGCTGCTGAACAGTTCTCTCTCACAGTTAGGAAGTTCCAGTGGAAGCCATTGTTCTGTGTCCTAATCTCCAAGGCAGCAAAAAAACAGGCTTGCTCCCTCCTCTCTTTGACTTCCCCTCACATATTTATACATGGCCATCATGTCTCCTCTCAGCCTTCTCTTCTACAGGCTAAACATGCCCAACTCTTTAAGCCACTCCTTATAGGGATTGTTCTCCAGACCCTTGATCATTTTACTTGCCCTCCTCTGGACACATTCCAGCTTAGAGTCAACATCTCCCTTAAATTCTGGTGCCCAGATTTCGACCCAGCAAGTAGTAAGCTGTCACAACGTGTGTGTCCATTTTGCATAATCATAACAACATAATTCCTTAGATTCATAGATATTCGATTTGTGGAAATAGCAGAAGAAAGGGATAGAGAGAATGCCCAAAATTCAATTGCCAGACCAAACTGGAATAGATTTATTGAATCAGTTGCTCACGAGTCAGTCAGCAAATCACATGAATTTACTCTTATTGGGAACTGCGCTTTGGTTTAGTCTAGAACTGCCATTTATATTGTTGCCACTGGACACATTTCCTTGTGTGTCCCCTTTTTTGTAGGATAGTATTTCGGATGAAATGGAAGAAAAGTGGCTGAGAAGGCAAGCAGAATGGAAAAAGAGTGAAAGAACTGAACGGGAGAAAGCGTTAATACAGCAAAGTGAGTTCAAGAGGGTTCTATCTTTTGTATATTATTTGCATTATGTGTGCACGTACTGTACCTTCACCTATCTGTATCTCTTTTCTGATCCAAGAGCAGAGCTGCATCCATCTAAACCCAGACAGCTGCGGGACGGAGGGGGCAGAATGGGACGGGATGGGACAGAAAATAGATTGGAAAAAAACCCCCACAGATTCCTGTGCATACTGCACATATATTATTTGTAGTGCGAACAAATATGAAAAAACAATACAATATTTAAAATTAAGAACAATGTTAACCAACATAAACGTACCAATATTTCAATGTGGAGGTTGGGCCTGGTTTTGGCTGATGAGATAGACAATTAGGATTGCGGTTGTTGTGTTCCTTCAAGTCGTTTCAGACTTAGGGTGACCGTAAATCTAAAGTTTAGGATGAAGGGGGTTAATAAATGGCCTTGGAGAGCTGCATCCAGCCTGCGGGCCTTAGTTTGGGGACCCCTAATTTAAACAGTATGATAATATATTTGAATGCAGTTCTGCTTCCCTATGGAGGTCAGATGGTGCTGGGAAAGCTTTCTATTATATCCATATCTGCAGCATTACGAAACAAGCCCAATGATGAGAACAGCTAGCACTCTCCCCACCAAACAATACAGTGGTAACACCGGGAGCCCCCGGTAGCGCAGTGGGTTAAACCCTTGTGCCAGCAGGACTGAAGGTTCGAACAGGTCGCAGGTTCGAATCCGGGGAGAGCACGGATGAGCTCCCTCTATCAGCTCCAGCTCCTCATGCGGGGACATGAGAGAAGCCTCCCACAAGGAGGATAAAACATCAAAACATCCGGGCATCCCCTGGGCAACGTCCTTGCAGACGTCCAATTCTCTCACACCAGAAGCGACTTGCAGTTTCTCAAGTCGCTCCTGACACAACAAAAAAAAGTGGTAACAAACAGTAATGAGAGTAGAGGTTTTCAGTTCATGGACATTATAATCAAATTTATGAAACCCTCACATAATATTGAGTAAAAGGGATGCCCACGTTTCATTTTTCTTCCAGAACAGTCATTGACCAAGAAATTTGAGATGGAGCTGGAAGAACAGAAGAAGCTCATTCAGAGAAACAGTTTCCTCTTAGGTAAAGCCTATGAGCAAGAAAGAGAGGTATGTGGTGCTTCAGGATTTTACAGTGTGCTATTTTCTGGCTGGGTTTGGAGAATTAGCAAAATGTTGGTCCTTACTTTTTTATTATTAAAATTTTTATTCTGAAGAAAAATCTGTAGTGATACAATAAAAGAAGGGGGAACATTTCATGAGTATAGAAAAGTGGGAAATAAAGTGAGAAATAAAGAAATAAAGTTAATTTCTAAGAGAAGAGGAAAATAAAAAAATAAAAAATGCTAAAATAGAGCAAAAGTGGAACAGAAATTTGATACTTCCTATCTTCGCCTTGAAGAATTATTATCTAAGGTAAAGGTAAAAAAGAGTTATTTATATAGTGCTTTTAAAGTTTGAATTCAATCATTCCGTGTGTTTCATATAATAGCTTCTTCTTTTTTTTTTTGATTTTTTTTATTGCATTTATTCAATTTAACATAAACATTAAGTAAACATACCTTTATCACTAAATTATTCCTATACTCTATAACTACTACAAATTCTTAACTAACTATAAGTCAATTCAGACTTCTCTCAATTTACAAAACAAAATAATAATAATTAGAATCTGACCAATCCTTATAATCAAGTCACTCATTCACTCTCCAAATACAATATGATAGTAACATATATGCAACATGCACATCCTAGACATGTCCCATCATTCAATCTTATTTTGTTTTGGAAACATAATGATGAGCGCTCTTTGGATATTGACCATGGTCCACTCCTGTTATTTCTCTTTAATACTCCCCCCCCTCTTCCCCTTACCCTTAGTTTGTGCCCCCTCCACCAGGACCAACCAACTCATGTTGTTTCACAATTCCAGAATATCATTGTTTCTCTTGCTGGCTTATACCCCTTTCCCTCATTAAACACATACTCAATAAATTTTCCCCATATTTTCCAAAAATCTGTTTGTTTACATATACCCCTTTTAATTTTAATATTGCAAGTTAGCTTATCATTAATCGCTATATTCCAAATTTCCTTATACCATTCTTCTAATTGAATTTCTTTTTTTTCCTTCCAATTTTTTGCTATTAACAATTTAGCTGCTGTTATCAAATTAGAAACCAATTCCTTTTCTTCTTGTACGGGAATTATATTATCATGTATAAGTAATAAAGCTAATTTTGGTGTAATCTCAGTCTCCATTTTTATTATTGCTCTTATTTCTTTAAATATGCTTTTCCAAAATTTTTGTATAATATAACATGACCACCACATATGTAGATACGTCCCTATTTCCTGACAACCTCTCCAACACTGATTCGAATATTTTTTATCAATCTGATTTAATCTAATAGGGGTTAGATACCACCTCCATATCATTTTGTAGTAATTTTCTTTAATTCTGATAGACATATTTTTTAGTATCCTCATATTCCATATGTTTGCCCATTCTTGATTATTCATTTTTTCCCCCAAGTCTG